TAATTTATTAAGAGTTTTATTAAAAGGCTTAGGCAGTTTAGGCTTAAAGATTTCTCTAAATTCCTATTTAATATTTATTACTAATGCTATATTATATATTTCTTATTAAATATATATAATACTTTAATTCTATTATTACTTTATAATAAAGAGATTATTTAGTGTTTAATATATTTTATTTATTTTATTAATAATATTCCTAAGTTCCTTATAAAGTTATTTAATATTTAAGTTAATAAAGCTTTAAGATAAGTTATTTATAGTATCTATCTCCTAGTTAGTTAGTAATTTATTAATTACTACTAATAGAATAAATATAAGATAAGTAGGTATTATAGCTTACTGCCCCTAAGGGTTAGTAGTTATATATTATTACTAAATAAGGTTAATATTAGTAAATATTATATTTAGTATTACTTAATACTATATAATATAATCTAAATAAAAGCTATTAATATATAATAGTAATATTTAATTATATTAAATTATAATATATTAGGTTTAATATTAATAAATAATATAAGGTATATATTAAGTATTATTAAAATATTATATTTCTTAATAATAAATTTAATATATATTAGCCTTAATTAATATAAAGAAGTTATATTAATAATTAATAAGTTAAAATTTATAAAAATATTAATAAGTATAACTTATAATATATATATTAAGTAAGTAATATAAGAATTACTACCCTCTTAAGATAAATTATTATAAAAATATTATAAACTATTTAACCCTAGTTTAAACTACTGCTTTTTTACTAATTTTACTTTATTTATTCTTATATATAAGGTTAATTAATTATATACCTTATTATATATATTTAATTAATTAAGTTATAACTATAGGTTAATTTAACTTTTATTAACTAACTTATATAAAACTTAATATAATCCCTTTAATTCTAACTTTAATAAAATTTCTAAACCCTGCCTTTACCTTATAATTATCTTATAACTCTATATATAGACTCCCTATCCTTATTAATTTAAAAGTAACTCTCTAGTAATATTAGCTGCTCTTATAGATATATAAAAGAGCTATTCTTTATATATAGCTAAGCTTATAAAGGTAATAAAGAAAGCTACCTTACCTAATTAAAGAAAATAACCTTTTTTTAAGGCTATTTTTAAGTTTTTAAGACCTATTAACTTATTATTAACCTAATTTAAATTAATTAAATTAATATAATATCTTCCTTTTATATAATTAATTAATTAAATTAGGCTATAATTAAAAATAATTACCTTAATAAAATTAAATCTGCCTTTTAATAAAAAGTTCTTTATAATAATAATAATTATTATATATATTATATAAAGTTCTTTTTTATTAATTACCTTTAAGGTAGGCCTAATGGCTAGATTAAGATTATAACTAATTATATAATAAATATAATTATATAGCTATAAGCTATTTTATATAAGTATTAATATAATATAACTATTATATTATTAATAAAAAGGGTTAAAAGGTATTTAAGTTAAATAATATATTTAAGTATAATAAATAAATTAAGTATATTATATTATAAAAGTTAACTAAGATATAGTTCTTTAGATAGGTTAAAGAAAGAAGGTTAATTTAGTTATTAAAATATAACTAATATTAATACTGCTTAGTTAAGGCAGTAATTGCATTATTAAGGCAGATAAACCTTATCTAATTCTGACTTCTATAATAATAGCTTGCTATAGGGGTCTTATTATTTAAACTATTAATAGAAAAGCTAAAAAGCTTAATGGCCTTATATAAGGCTAAAGGTGAGGGAAAAAAAACAAACTTAATACCTAAATTAACCTTCTTCCTTTAACCTATTTAAAGGAATACTATATCTAATTTATCTATTGCAAAGTACGTTATCTGACCTGACTTTCCCTTCTGACCCGGAAGATCCTCGGTATTAAAGTTAATTTCGTCGAGAGGCTCTACCTCGGTGGCCTCTGTCGCTGCATCGAAGAGCTCTTCGCTTTAGTCAAACACAACGCTCTCAGCTGAGAACGAGCCATCCGAGTCGTACTTCACGCCCTGCCTGTGATAGAAGCGGCGCATCCTACTTCTCTGTAGGCAGTGATGAAGTGAATGGCCAGGTCAAAGCCTCCGGTATCGACATTGGCAATCACAGAAAAGGTGACGACGATGACGCAGCCTTCTGCCGCGTAGAAGCCCTTAAGGGCGATTGAAAAAGCCAGTTCTTGACTTCCATACTGTAATGAAAGATCATTCTGGCCAGGCGGGAAATAGCCAGGGTCATGAGCGGGGGGCCCTGTTTACAGACCACGTCAGGGGCGTAGGGGACAAGAACTGGGGCCGGGGCGGGTATTCAAAGCTGCAGTATATTCAGCATGCTTCCCGATTTCACAGAAATGGCAGTTTGGGTTGCCATTTCGGTGATCTGGCACAGCAACCTTGTTTTGGGCTGTGAAGCTCGACTTGCTCAGCAGAGCTGACGGAGTCTCGTTTCGCATCTTGTCAAGGCATATTTATAGATACGAATGCAGTTGCGCTAAGTACTGTTTGTGAAATCTATCTTAGGCTGGATGGATGGACTTAAGGGGCTTGCTCGTTGAAGAGCCATCAGACGGTCGCCGGAGGTAAGATTGTTGGCGATGGGCAGGCATGAGGGCTATGCGCCATCTACTGGGTGCGAAAGGCCTATCAGGCGTGGTTAGTGGTTGCGCTAGAACACGCAATGGATGTAATAGAAGGGTCTCTCTAGGATAGAGCCAGTGCAACGGCTATATGCAGATGTTAAAAGCTGCGCTTAGGCAAAGTCCAGAAATGGACTGAAGATGATTGCCAGTAGATTACCTAGTAGGTTTGCCCCAGTAATCCACCTATATAACCAGGAGTTGTATACGAGAGGTGTGTATGATAATTTGTGTATAAGAGGTTTTATATAATACACAGCTCATCATACACAGCTCATTATATACAGCTCATCATACGCAGCTCATCATACATAACCTCTCGTATATAGTCTCGCATACAAATTATCCTATGCAGTTCGCCCTTCTGGTTCGGACTAGTCCTACTGATTTATGCTTGAGTGACCATCTCTAAAGATGTACTGCGATCGGTCAGCCTCTTTAATAGGTTAGTATTTAATGTGCCACCTGGGTATGGAGTAAGAATAGGGTAGAAGAAGATTATTTGGTATTGTCGGAGCGATAAGAATTATGCCCCGAATGAGAAGAAAGTGATGTTGAAGGGGATATGTAGGAGACGGTTCCGGTTCCTAGACCCCGTTAAGACCAACACCGTCTGGATGCCTACTATGGAAATATTGGGAGATGGTGTTGCCGAGCAGCTAGTCGATGTCTTCCTTGCTCAAAAGCCAACCTCGTAACATTGCTCAGCATCAACAAATATATACTGCCGGCTTCTTGGAATGTCAATGAAGAGTCCTTGATTCTGTCCAAAGTAACCTCAAAGTAACCTCCATAAGGGTACAGCGTGTGGTTGAGTAACGCGTTGCCTCTGCAGCGGACACAATCGCCAACTGCAAAGCACAGCTTCTTGTTCAAGCTAAGAGGACTATCAGCCTAATCCAGATGTGCATCAGCGTCCCTGTAAGAGTTTTCCTAAGTGTGAACAGCGCTTTTCTTCACTACTGCAGATACGCATAACCAAGAGGTACGTTATTAGTATCGAACCTAAGATCTTCGTACAACTCTTTGCTCCTTGCACCGTCCAACTTTCCTCACGCAAAAGATTCCATCTCACGATTCTATCAAACGTTTCGGGGTCCAGATGATCCTGATCCTCTCAAGCTTCTCAACGCCAACAGTAGGACAGTGCTCATCATCCCTCTCCATGACAAGTTGAGATGAACCGCAAGCTTGAACGTATCAATCGCAACCTCCTCACGAACCTGCCGATTCGGCGACCTGACTAAGGGCTTTACCATACTCGCAAGATTGCGAAGCAGAGCATCGCTGATACCATCCCATCCAGAATTATGGCGATGGTCGAGTGGTGGTTCTCGACATGCATCAATACCGAGGCGGGGTGTTGATTGTTTGTCAAGAGCGTGAGTGGCTTGACGTGGTTGTGAAGGCAATCAGTTTGTGCTAGGTGATGCTCTCGGTCAAACAGGGCTGTGTCTGTCTTCTGCTAGGAGAGTGGTAAGCATTCGACATCTACTCCAAAACTCTGCTTGCTCAGCAAGATGCAAGCCCAGGTGGAGATCTGGCAGTAGATCTGAACCCTCCAGCTTCGCAGCTTGGCATACTGACTCTTGGCAGTAACGTTGCTCAGTGTTAACACCATGGAAGTTGCAGTTATTTCATGAATCCTAGCAAGCAAGAAGTGCCATGGTACTAGAACCGCAGTTATTGCGCTCATCACCTAGTTCGCACCTGAGAGCCCACACACGCTGCCAGGAACAACCAGCCAGTATGACATTGACTCGTACTAGACCGTTATCACCAAAGTCATAGATGCAATTCATATCCTGCCTTCCTTTCTGCAGACAAAATGGGTTCGTAAAGGAAGGTACAACATATCAGAGGGCCAGCCCGTTACTAGTTTTCGCATCCTCGCCGCGGCCGAGCTTCTATTCCTTCACTCCAACTTGTTTGAACCCAGAAGCCTTGGGTTTTTGGCTTGATGTCGCAGGGCCGCCGTCCTCGCTTGGTAGCTCAGCTAGTAGACTGATAAGAGCAGCGCTCATTCCAGCTGTGGCGTTTACTGTATCGTTTCGAACGCCATCTCGAAGCCCATTGGAATTCGTAACATCCCGGTTGTAAGTGAGACATGTCCCAACTGCCTGGTTTGGCAAAAGTCGACCACACTTTTGAAGGTTGAATGATGGAAGGGGTTGAAAGGTTTGCACTGCCATTGCGTTGGTTCTTGTCTTGCTTTAAGTTGTAGTAACGCCAAACATCTTATTAGCTTGTGAGAAAGTAACCAGCCGTTTGAAATCGCATTGCTAGCATGAACGTGTAGGCATACCCCGGATATTCGGGGAACCTGAAATTTCTCTAGGATACTTAATACTTGCACCGATCTTCCTCTGAGACGATGGAGCAGACTGCTATGAATACAGGCCAAATAGGTAGTGCTGCTGGGACCTGCTCCTTGTCGCAGATTATCTTCACTGTTGAGATACTCTTTTCAATGTAATCCTCTCGGCCTGTTGCACTTGGCGATTTCAACTCTGGGAAGTGAAGAGCGCAGGTATCTTCGAAAATCAACAGCGCAGCGAGCCTGTTCGCTTCTGCCGTAACCATTTGAAGTCCATCTGCCTCCCAATGGTATTCTTCCTCTTCTGTTGATAAGAATTCCTCACTGTTGGTTTCTTTGCTGGCCTTTAAGTTGTTGAATACTTACGTGCAGTCAACAGCAGTCAAGAAAGAATCTTGACTCAGGTTTTCATCGCAGAGCTCATCTGACGTCGAGAGGTGGTAATACATAGTCTCTTTGGCAGCTGTCAGCTCTCAGAAGGCTGGTAACTTGTGCTTCACATCTTCATTGATTCCTGGTCACTTATCCCTGACCGTCTCTGGTTGCTGACCTCATTAGAGAATGCCAAGACCTGGCGTAGGCACGCCACCCTCTCTGATACTATTGCGACCGTTTGAACGTCTCCACACCATCACCACGACGTTTGGCTTAACGTACCAGAACAAGATGGTGCAATTGATGAACCTCAGACTTTCTGTGCCTATTCTACTGGGTGTCATAGGAAATTCAATCATCTTCTGTCAATGGGCAGTTATTATAACTTCTGCCATTCGCCAAGGAGTGAGTGCAATCACCACCTTTCGAGACACGCAGGTGTCGCATGGCGCTCTCGCTCTGGCGCACGGTTATGGGAGGGCTTCGGCATAGCATGATAGACACAAAGGCGGTATTAGGTGGATGTTCTGGCGCAAGGGATTATTTTTGGTATTTGGATGGATTGATAGTTCTGCAAGTAAGGTCATGTGTATGGTTATCGATTAAAGTAATGCATAATGGTTGTCGGTTCATTTGGATCAAAGATGGATATTGGAGGCATCATTGGGAGGCTGCTTGTTTGGAGTGAGAGGGGAAACAATAATAGTGGAATGGGTCAATAAAAGAGTGCATTATGTATCTTATACCTTTAAAATGACCAACAAGCCGTGAGCCTTTTCCCAGGTCGTGTTGTTCAGCTACATGCATGATCACAAGTAATTATCCTTCGTGATGCTACTCCCAAACAAACAGTTACTAGTCCCGCAGTGTAAACTATCTCTAGCCAATCAAAGGCAATCATCCAATCAAGCCGCCTTAAATATCGTCGCACGACATTGAGAGAGGCCACAGATCAATGCATTGACTTTAGGTCACTCACTGACTTCCCCTTATCTTAAGATCGTGGGCTCCCGTGTTCATCTCAAGATGGCGACTTCGCTGGGCCAGCCTTTCCCAGCTCCAGCCTCATAAAGCCACAAGTCCGCCACATTTTAGTCCCAGCTGACTGGGCTTACGGCACAGTAGAACTAAAAATAACTCCATTGGTCCCTGAGATGTTCTGGTTCAAGACGCCAATGCTGTTTGGCTGGTCGCCAACATGACGAGAACTCAAGCTTTCGCGACATGGACACTGTGAAAGTGGTTCTGACTTGTGCTGGAGATATCATCGGAAGAGTACGTGCTGGGCTCCGCATCCAGCGCTTACTGTTATCGATTTGGCCCCCCGAGAGAATCCAATTTACTCGTTTTGATCATTAGTACAGAGGATAAGCACAGTGAGTTAACATGGGATATCTTCATACTTCCAAGGCGTACTTGTTGGATTCTGCCAAGACTTCGCTCAATCGATGAAGGTCGAATCGATCCACAATAATTGCTCCTAGCGCCAAAACCTCACATTACGTAGGATAGTGAGCCTTTATGCCCACCATGAATGTGCTGATATTGACTGAGAAGTCGGTGTAGCGCTGGCCTTGACGTATCAGAAGACTCCGGACCTTGAATTATGAACAAAAGTAAACTCATCAACACGCAATAAGCCCTGCCTAAGCATTTTCATCACTTCGATTGACGTCCCAAGTTTTCTGACCGTCCCCAGACTGGGATACCGGGCCTTCCCGTGTCTGAGAGATGCGTTTGTGTGGAGGGGCCCGGCCAACGATCGGGAAGACCGTGGGCCACGCGAAGATCGCCAAGAAAATATTTCGGTGCCTAGGATAACCGTCTCTGCTGATCTTCTACGGGTCTGGCCCTGGGGGACTCTAGCTCCTCGTTTCTATAGGATAGATGAATTAGAAGAAGCTTCTCGCCTGTAGAAATATGCGGCATTGGAGTACTGTTCTTCGCGCCCATGCCAAGCGTTGTGGCTGAGACAATATGTACTGAGAAGTTGTCCAACGAATCACATACCTCCGTCGATATCAGGGCGCCAACAAGGGTATCGGAATTGGCTAGTCATTGCAAAAAAGACACAGTACGTGATAACACCAAGCACTACTACGTATGGTTGAGTGTTTTCCTCTATAATTGGTCAATTGTTACCCCAGTTGGGTATGCCAGTCTCGAGCCATCTCCACGGTTCGCATTGAACCACCTCTGTAGAATATAATCACGGAGTATCTATCGCATTACCGAACATCATAAATTGACAGTTTCTGAGTTTTGAGGTCATCAACGCTGTCAACTGAAGCCTCGTCACACCGACATTTCCCCTCATCTCAATCCGCTACATGGTGTGTTACACGAGGCTCAAAACGGGCTTCCAACCGAGATACGAAGTCGGGCGTCAACGGTTGCATATCAAGATCTGGAGCGTTGATTGCATCACCGCCAGCATAGATCGAGTCGCGCAATCACAGAGCATGCATACACATCTTGTGCAATGAGAGGCGGAGTAACACGACGCAGGCCATGTATATGAAGCCTGGAGCCAAATAATTCCTCAGTACCTGCACGGTAGCAAAGGGCCACAAATTCCTCTTTTCTCAACGACCAGCCAATATGTTTGCTCCTCACGCGTTTCACTGTGTTGCAGATCATATTACCGTATGGAAAGTCGTGGTTCAGAAAAAGGAAACAGGACATAGAGTCTTTCCACGAATAAGGAGTTAACCTCAGGCTCCTCCAGTGGCGCCAACACCAAGCGCGCGTAAGCAGCCACAATATCACATTACACGTAAGACTCTAACGTCGGCTACGTTGGCATGGCATCGAATCTGGCAGCAGAGCCAGTTCTGAAGCCGTTAGTTACACCTTTCACCGATGAAACAGTTGTGATTCTCGTGATCTGCATACAACCGCACCTTCATATGATCCATTCATTAACCTCATGTATCATGGTCTGCTGGACTAGCATTACAAGAGCTCAATGACCACCTGAGACATTGACAGCCTGGTCGCACTACCCCTCTTCCAAGTACCGGGATCCCAGAGTGAAGCACTTGCTGCCTTATTATTGCCCTGCCACGCATCACTTGACCTCCACAAGTTGTAACACAAAACTGAGACAGACGCCTCGGTCTACCGGTCCAGGACTGTTTTGCCAGCCTAAGGTTCAGGTCTGATTGAGCCTTTACACAAGATCAAAGCACACTGTAATATCTCATGTAACACAGCACAGCTAGCTTGCAATACAGCTGTCATGGGCTGGCTGATCGAGAGAGATCGAATGGGTAAGATAGGGCCAATAATACAAACTCCGCCATGCCGTGTTACGCCTTCCTGAAAATGTAGCCTTTTAGGGAAAACCAGTTCAGCCATGCTATATAACAGACATGCTCTCTCTGATCTTAAGCAGGTGTGATTTAGAGTTGAATCTCGCCAAAGGCTGACGCAGACCTCGCGCCTTAGCAATGTCGTCTCCTCCGCCTCTTCTTCTTCCGCCTCTTTCTCCTGTCCCTACTCCTCCTTCACCAACTCCTCCTTGTCACTTACTTAAACTTCCCGAGGAGCTTCAGCAGAAGATCTGGCGCCTGTCCCTCCCTGACTTCACGATCCACCACGTGGTTATAGAGATCCTGTCTGGCTATAATAGGTGGTGCAAGGCCGATCCCGGCGATTGGCCAGGTCTGAATGCCCTCGACCTAATGTACGACAAGCGGCCATGCCATCGTTGGCGTCAGGTCATCAAATCTCCACGGCGACCTGCTGGTCTTGACGTCTGCAAAGACAGTCGGAGAATCATGCTCCCTTGGTTCCGCGAGTTTCCGAGAAGGTGCATTCGGCAGCTGGTCCAGAATAACGAGGGGGAGGATTACTTCCTGGATATCGACGATCCATCGAGAGGTAGTCTTAGCCTCGGTCTGTGCAACCCGCTCACAGACTTTCTCTACGTCAAGGGCGAACTTGCCATGTTTCCGCTGAATCTACGGGACGTCCCTGTTCTTGGTGTATCGGTGCAGCTTGCGAAGAACGGCAGCGTGGGATACGGTTTGGCCTGCAACCTTCTCGCCCGAGTTGTATCCCCCCATTACAGCCCTCGCTTGTCATACATCAATGTGGTGTTCACTTGGCGCTACAACGAGCTCGTTGGGGAGCACCGACTATGCGACATAACAGTGCCTGTCGGGAGGCCTGTGGTCTGGACGGGGAACGCTGGTCATGTGGAGGCCCTGCCGATTTACAATTGGCAATTTGTCCACTATGGTCAAGACGACAATCGAATTGCCACAGGAGGTCAATTTCACGAGGAAGACTTGATGACATTGCCTCAACATGACACCGGCAGCCATACCATGCTTGTCCTGTCAACTATGCCCATGTCATGCAAATGCTCCGGGATGGTTGAAGCCATGACAACACTGGCAGCTAGTTTGACTGACGAGGAGATGGCTCAGTTCCACCCCAAGTGATAATGGACGGCGGAAACGGTCGAATCGAGGGTAGTGGCGGTGTTAAGGATGATGCAAGTGAGACGGATGGTTGGCAACGCCTTCGAGAGGAGTCTGGCGAGCGGGACGGACCTATGATGTAGATAGCAATTGAACTAGTACACGGAGTTCATAAAAGGCTTGATCGGTGTCACCACTGCCCTTAAGCTGCAATTAAAGTCAAGAAGAATCTTACGGCAAGCTTAACTAGTAGATGGCATTGAGTTTCTAGCTGCATGAGAAGAACCGCTGCTGTCTCTTGAGGCGGAGATATACATCGACCTTACACCGGTTTGATACACAAGGATCTAGCATGGTTACACTTTCATTAGAACTCTAGATTCACTGACACCCACAAGTCCTCACACAGCATTAGGAAACTTGCGAGATATAATCGCGCGGACTCATACGGTGGCGATTGGCCCCTGGTCTGGCCGCACCACGACCAGGGCTCTCGCTTTGGCTGTGGTGAACATGGCAGGCTGCTGTTCGTGATAATTACCAGGGCGTCAAGTTCACTGAAGTGCAGGTTCATGCCTCTACTGTATATTGTATTTGTTCAGCGATATCCTCTATCTATTCCCTAGGCCATCCTGCACGAACCATCTCCCAAACAAGCGGCCAGTAAGTCACCTTGACCCATTGCCTCAAGAGATGTAATATGCACACAATCTGATATATCCCCTTTGTACTCTGCGTATTCCCAATGCCTATGCTTTGCCAGACCATTATCTTTCGATCTTGCGGCGTGGTAATAATCAGGTGCCAAAAGTGACCCTGGATGATGATGCCAGGAATAAAAGTCGGCAGGTCAAAAGCCTTCTGCGCTGTCGATTCATCCCCAGTACTCGTGACTGTCTCAGACCCTACAGCTGCGGTCTTTTCTGCCGCTGTGCACCTCTCACCTGCGATCTGAGCAAGATGGCGGAGGAACGTCCAGTGGGCATTCTGCCAAATGCCAAGTTGCAGTTTCGCCCCGTCGAACCCGGCACTGGGCTTCTTAGTCTCAATGCTGAAAGCGATGGGGCGATGGGCCAGGGGCGTGGCGTCGGTGAAATTGAAGACGGATTCAGGAAGATCCCTTTGACAGTGAGAAATGACGTCTTGGACTGACTCTTGTCTTGACCGTTCCAAGTCGTTCCCAGGCTCGATATAAATGCTGAAGTCAACCTTTTTAGAGACAGAAGAGTTGGTGTAATCTGGTATGAGACAGGCTTGCGTGCTGTGTTTGTCAGCGGATGAATGATTGCTGATACTTTGGGGGGATAACTTACGTGCCCATGAAGTTGACTAAATGCGAATATGGAGCTTGATCGGGGGAGCGGAAGGCCAGTGATAACAGAGGCTGATGAACTTCCATGTTCCAGTTTACTTCGTGGTGAGAGTTTGAGCTGCACTCTGCCGCCGCTGCCAGAACTCTGCTGACATCTTCTGGAGAGGGTGTATGTCCAATGATGTCTCGGTCTGCAGAGAAGTAGTCACTCCCTCTAGCAGCCCATCTGAAGTCTTTTAATGATCTTGATGCAGATATCAATGCATCTTGTTGCAAAGTTGACGCAATACCCTTTCCCTCCATGACAAGGTCAATGGCCTCAAGAAGATCCTCAAGCTTGCCAGGCTTATTATCAAACAGTACAAGATCCTTAAATTCAATACCCCGCGCATCAAGCTTGAGGCTCTGCAGTTGCTTTCGCGGGGAGCTCTGGCCAGACACTTGGCTCGAATGATAGGAGAGATGTGACGATAATGAGTGTTCAGACTCGGACCGCAAAGGCCTGGAGCGTTTCGGCCTTGGAGTTGTGTCAATATCCAGGTTCTCATCACTGCTTATCTGTAGGTTTTGCCGCTTTGTTGGAGACTGTTGCGCTGGGGGCATTTCGGCGAAGAAGCAATCTTCTGAAGGGTCTGGCGTTACAGGATGCTGATGTCGCGGGCGCTTAGATGGGCGCTCAATATCAAGATCCTTGGAAATATAATGATCAGGTATATTTCTCAGCCAGTCTCTTATGGAAGCTGATGACATGCTTATTGCGTGGTTGCTGTTGATGATAATTATCTTGATGACGACCTTGAAGAAAGTTGTTATTGTTAGATAAGTGTTGGATCTAATTGCGTTGGCGGGGTAATCGTCATATCAGCTTAGCGTCAGCCTGATAAGCTATCGATAAGCCGCAATTCGAGTGAGTCAGCATTTTCATTCTCGCACTAAGCCTATTCTGGCTTAACCCATGTTTAGGGTAGTTTCCTTATGAATTTTCTATTTACAATTTACCTGAAAACAAAAGTCATCTTGAAACTTACTATAGAATGGTTAACACACTTTTGGCTTAGTTAGGGACGTAGAAATTCATTAACAATGTGACAGACAGACTGGGCTCTTGAAAATTTACTCTGAGCATGAAACCTCTTTTATCTTTCTTGTCTTATTGTTATCCAGGATTCCACAGTCCGCGCCACTAAGTAGGTGTATTCCCCCAGCACTGGATATTATATTTCATCTTCAGTAAAGATTGTCCTGCCTTCAATTTGATCTGGCCTTGCTTCTGTTCAACAGCCCAGGTGAAGTAAACACAGACGAGCAAGTTGAGTCTTGACGTCTTAAGATGCAGAGTAACTGTTGATTAAAATAGAATGCTAAGCGCTACCTTGGTTCCTCACAGAGTTTGCACTTATCAATCGGTATATCCTAACACACGCTAGCAGGGGGTTAGGCCTCCCTTTCCTACTCTGGTGAGGACCATGCTGCAGCACATCTTAAGATATTAAATGATATGCAATTGGCAATTAAGCATTATTCCCTATTCTAATATTATCGACCTTTATTAAATCGTAAATACAATCACAGAGACTATTAATCGAAAGTTTCCCCCTTCCCCGTCCTCTACGTATAAATTAGTTAGTTATTCTGTTGCTGCAAATTTAGCCTACTATGGCGCCTCTAGCGCGACGTGACGGGTGCTCTCAATCAAGACCTGCTATCTGGATTTAGAGGTGTAAGTCCCTTTATCATCCCTTTTATCTTCTTTGGCGCTTATACTATACCCTTAAAGCAAGAAATAGTCACATCTGACCCCAAACGGGATGGCATTGTCTTTCCCCCATTTCCCATCGGTCCTTAGAAAGCTCCCACTGCAGTACTGTATCTACATCCCAGAAAGATAAAGAGCATATTGCTCCATTCGGTATAATAGATCTCAAGGAAAAGCGCATGGAAGAGTGTTCAACGAAGATTGGGCCCATCAGTGAATATCATTAGGTTCCCTCGGTGCATTGGCCAAACCGCCAGTGCCTGAAAATGAGAGCAGGCTGGCATGTAGGAATGGCATCAGAATACACAGTCATGTTCAGAAATACTTCCTTCCTTAAGATAGAGGCTACAAGGCCAAGGACGGCAATTGCATAGGGCTATTACCCGTTCCAGTTGATTGCGATGTTTAATAGTTGCGGATAGAAGGCTCTGCTTTTAGTGACATAAGAGATACAAATTGCTCATGGGTTTGGAATGGGCGAAGTACCCGTCCTTGACAAGTTGACGATGGGATATGGCAATGTTGGACGATTGGCTGCTCATTCTTCATGATTTCGTTCATACCATAGGCTTCCAATGTAACCAAGGGATCCTTGATGACGCTGTCCTCTAGATACGACACACACTCTTTGTGACTCCAACCTTGGACCCTACACCTGTTCAATCGTTCTTCTCAGTCCCGACTTGCTCTTCTCTATGCCCTTCACCTTGACGTCTACTCTAGACTTAAAATGCTGTCCGGAGTCCCGCTTCTTTATCGCAACGAACTGGTTCTAGCTTCCGTCCGTGCCACTCCCTTCGCTGCGGCGCCAAGCTTGAAACTCGGCCTCTTGAGTTTGAAGTCGTTTCTATATCAATACCTATTAGTACAGTTCTGCATTTGATGTTGTTATACTTACGAGCTTCTCGGGTGACATGATACCTTCGAACGTTCGCTGCTTCTAGTGGCGAGTCAAGTTCGATTTGATGTCGGGAAAAATGGCCTCTTTGGTGCCTGGAGCGACGGCTTCGTCAGTGTCGCGAGTGGTGGCTGTATTGCCTTTGGGTTGGGTTGAATTCGCCATACTTATAGTATGTCTTTGATAGTTGATAGGTCAGTATCTGGTAAGTGAGTCGGGATTTCACAAACTGTTGAGAGAGGAGGTTTTATTGTAATGTTGATGCAAAAAGATTCTCAAGAGGTTCTGAGCTGAGGTATTGTTTGTTGATTGTGAAAACAGTCGCAAACAATGGTCTAACACGTGACCTAGAGGAATGATTGGATGCACTGTTTGTCGCGGAAAACTGGGACTTGCATTTACAAATCACTTCATGGGACACCTCAACAGTTGAAAACACTCGCTTAGACGGAAACTCTCTAATTACTCCTTAAGCGATGTTTGTCTCTTTGCTGTTTGATTCATTATGTTTATCTCTATGTTTGAATTAGCTGAGGCGCTTGCGTAGTTCTGTGACAAAACTGTTTAGACTAATCACAAACTGTTTAAACTCGCCATAAACAGTTTAGACTGGTTACAAACGTCTTGAACTGGTTAGTATCTTGATTGATAGTTAAAGCTTATGATATCTCAACGAGATACATCAAGTCACAAACGGATTAATTAAGTTTGTTTAAACAGTCAAACAGGTTACTGCTCGACTATGCAATACATATTAAATAATGTTGCCCTGCACAGCTGATTGTGTCACCAAATCCTCTTCACAACTGATCGGCCTTATTATATGGCAAAGAACCGCAACCCAAGCAGCGGTAATAGTCCCTCTAGACTGCTACACTTGCCCCCAATCTTGAAATACATGCTCCCCAGTAACAAGTCATCCAAGATGTCCGACAAGCACACGCACAACAGCCCAACAAGACCTGAACAGCACTGCCAGCTGCGACCTTTGACCAAGCTTCATGCTAGTCGAATGCTACCAACATTGAGTATCAACGCTCATTCTCGTCAGCAAGATGAAGATGACAGCAACCTAACACCTCCTTCTGTAGGCCGTTGGACTCACACCAGCGCACAGCCAGACGAAGATGATTGGAAGCCCAAGCACAATAACCGCTTGGTGGAACCCAACCCATCTCAGTTTCTTCAATCCAAGAAGCCTAACAAGAAGGCAAAGAAAACTCAATTCACCGATCCGCCGGAGTTCCTCGAACACAAGACACTCAATGACGAGACGGCATTGCCTTCAAAGATCAGCGCATCACGGTTTCTTTTGTCTGAGGAGGCGACTGATGGGTCAAAGACGGGTCGGCCTCGGATTCCTCCTCAAGAGGAAAATAAACGCAATCGGGACTACAAAGGCATCTTACTCCGTCCGTGTGAGTGCTGGAAATGAATTAAGGCATACTTTATCTGTGAGCAGAACATATAATAGCTGGCTATTGGCCGATTAGTTTATGTTAGAAACCTCAAGGTGGCACAAAGTGCTGGTCTTTGACAATAAAATCACACAAGATTCCTTTGCATTTCCTTTTTGAGATCCTGTTAGATCTGGTAGACGATGTACTAGATACCTTCAAGGTAGGCAATCTTCTCCTCCTGCATCCACATGAGTGATTACAGCTGCAGCTCCTGGAATGTAGGCATACATCCTGAACCGAAGAGCCACTCCTCCCTGCGGCTCATCCACTATCAATTCCTACAAACGCAGTCTATCCGCCAACTTTCTCCTTAGCTTCAGTTCCCTACTTCTGTAACAGGTGCCAAAACATTGAATCGTTTACTGAAATGATTAAGCGCTTCCTTCTGAGATCAACTTGCCATTGGTCATCTCAAGCCTGGACCAAGTCTCAAAACCGAAACGCCTAACCGTGCTTGGTTCAACATATGCCGATTGATAAGATGCATTCTATCACAAAAGGAAAGCTTTGTTGACATACTTCGAGATACATAAAACAAACGAGTCTGCCTGATCATATTCTCTGAGCGTTGATTAGTTTGTTTCTAATATGGCTTCAAGTCCGTTCATAAAAAGATAGGATACAACAGCCCGACTAGCGGCCTAAGCCAGGGCTACAGAATATGCATAGTGAACAACCTCACTCGTCACAGTCTATAACCTTTCCCTTTATCAATCGCTTATGAAGTGCTCCCAAACTTGTTTTTGCTTATTCAAATAGGTGATGGCGCTTTAATGTTGTAACCTCCAGCCGATGCATTGCGGCCTCATGTCTTTCCGTGCTCATAAAGGCTATTTTTTATGAAAGGCAACCTTATAATCGAATTAGTTGTATTATATACAAGTTATTACGGCAAGGCGAAACTCTGCTACTAGTCCACTGAGATCATAACAGTACCTACCGTAATATAAGATTGACATTGTCAAACCCATAAATATCATTCTAAGGAGCGCGTATACTCATAGGCCAACTATAAAGAGCATAGAATAGTACCCTTTATTAACTTACTGAAGATTGCAATCTATGCAGCTAAAATATAATAATTATAGCAGTAGTGGATCTCGACACTCTTTTATCTTTTAATCTTCATATTGGCATTAACTATAGGTGCAATAATAAGTAAAACAGAAAGGATTATTAGGGAAAACAGTAATAGAGAAGAAGAAGCCTAGCCTCCTCTTCTGCCTCTTACTTTTTTTAAGACTTAAAGGTAGCCTAGAAGGAGTATTTCTAAACATATAATAATAAATAAAGTATTAATAAACTAAGCGCAAGACTTTAGGAACTAATAAAGAATTAAGATAATAAAAACTCCCAAGCTTGCCTTTTATTTATCCAAGGTACACCAATCCATATATCTAAGTATACTCAGGGTACATAATATAACATTAAGTTATAACTAAAGATAATAGCATATCATTCCGGATCTTATAGAGACATTTTATTACACATAGTATTACGTAGATCTTAGGAAGAATCTTCTCTTGCAGGAGCTCAAGGTAAGATACACCTCAAGAACAATATAAAGACTAGGAAATTGCAAGCAAGGTTCTTATAATTAAAGATATAATCATTCTAATATTCTAATCTAAGAGCTCAGAAGCTTGCCAACTATCAGTCGCATTACTGCTCTTATTAATTGCTTATCTCAAGTGGCAACGGTGTTAGAACGGCCAAGCATCTTGCGAGTTTTCAATAAATAAGAGGGTTTTTAGGGGAGTCGATGGTCATAAGCGTTCATCACTGCGACGAGTTCAAAGTCTTAAGGCAATATTATCAAGGTCTCTGTTTAGAAAGAATTATCGTCCTAAAAGATCAAGCTTCCCCTCTTCCGGCTCTGCCTTTTCATCTGTGACTTGATAAAGAAAAGAGTAGTCTAACACTGCTAAACACTACACATTTTGACAGATTGACTAAGTTCTGTGTGGTGAATAGAAGCTCTCAGCCACAGGTATCAACTGCAAATAACACATCTAGCTCACAACTTAGATTGACAAATTGACATGAAGTACTGGCCCATCACCTCCCTTTTCCCCCACACCAAGCAATTGACCAAGCCTGGCCGTAATGCATTAGACACCTAGCGAAGGTGCAGATTGTGTATAAGGCCATTGCTCTGCCATTCTTTCAACGATGACGTCCATTGGCCCATTTGGCCTATGTCTCTTATGGCTATCTCGGTATTCTGGGGGTTTGATGGAGACTAACGTACCGACAAAAGAGCGAGAGGGCCCAGGTTCGACAATACCTTCTTGGCCACCAGATAGGATTCACAGTTATGATACTGGCCGATGTCGAATGGGTAGGGCAGCAAGGGGAAGGCACATTCAACCCCAATACCTATACATACAAGCCCGAGAGTCTGGCAATTGAACCGTTATCACGAGAATAACAGCATCATAGCAATAGTGAGATCTAGCGCATCAATAGGACTATATCAAGGGACTCAGTGAAACCGCATTCTACAGAGCGGACAAGGCGATAAGGACGATTACTGCCCCCTTGTAGTTGCGGCAACTTCCAGGGGATAATCGCCCCGAGAGCACGCAATTACAGCGTTAGTGACACTCCCTAACACGCCGCTATGTTTCCTCTTCTTTCCTAGCATTCCATATTCTTCACCTATGCCTTGTCTAGTCGTCGCTCCCAGGAAGAGGCGGCAAATCGCACTGCCGACCATCATATAAATCCGACCTGCACACTTCTAACGAGCGCGAGCATTATAACCTACTCTCTTCGAAGACCGGGGTCCATAGAGGAGACCTATGGCCTCGCTGCAGCTCTGGAGATCAGGGGCTGCCTATGCAGAGAAGCTGACCCTCTTGTGGTCGCATGGCGTGGACACTGAGTGGTTGCAGGAACATCTACTTCAATATGCCTCGACATCTATTTTACTGCCTGCACTTCCTCTATCATCTCTCTCGATCCCATCAAAATCGGACCTTCCCCAGCAAGGCAGAGCAAGACTTTGAGTCTACACCTGGGAGCGTTGGCTAGAAACTGGCAGGGTTAAACTCGCTTTTAACCGAGAAGGCCAATTTGGGGATGAGTCGGTTCAGCAAGATAAAAGATGATATACTGCAGGATATCGCAACGCGGTTGTCAGCATATTGAGCCGAGAACCTACATGACATGTTGGCTCGAGGTTTAAGAAATCTTCGCACAAGCTCTAATTGCGTCAAAGATCACGAGAGGCCTGACTGATACGATACTGCTCATCCCTTGCATTACTAGTTCAGAGCCTGTTGCAATTGCAAGCTCGCCTACTGACGATATACGTGTAGAGCATCCTGGCTCGGTAACGGCAAAAATTCCAACAACGATTCCACAAAGACACCCAATGCCTCAGATGATCTTGGTGAGCTGGGCGAACGAAAGCTGCTTTATCTGCGGCGATAAACTGGAACGGATGAGGTTTGCGATCGTTGGTGAATGTATTGATCTTCCGATATACAGGATAATTATGTCAACGTTTCAACTTGAACCTTCTTCTTATCCTGATTCCCTCCCACAGGCACAACAAAACGTAGATTTCGCCACTGCAGACTCTCTTTTTTCGTTCCTGTTAACCCCTCTCCTGCTCCGGACATACACCCTCGATCAATCCGGCCCAGCATCCATCGTCTACTCCCCTCACCGAAACAGTCAATCACCTTTTAAAGTAAAACCAAAGTCTTAAATTGCACAAGTTGCATCACTAGAAATTCTGAAAGTCGTCCCTGTTATAGTTCCTGTCGCGCTATTGTGATACCATAGTTGAGAACGTCGGGTGGCCTTCCCATCGGAACTCAAGGGCTATTAAATCCAGATGCTCGCTCCTCAACCTCGCCATGACGAGTTCCGACCGAGATAGCGAGAGGTTTCGTAGGTGGATTCTTATCTAAGAAGTCATCAAGAGAGTAGACCTGTGAGTACTCCATATGATGCAAGTCACACTCGACGTCATGGCCTCGATTCTTCATGGCTGCTCTCCACCATCGAAGAGTAGCTTTTAGAGATAGGAGGTTCTCACCCCAGTTGGCACACGTGCATGTGATAGATTTTGCGCCAACAAAAAGCTTGCAAAGCGCCATCAAGGCAAGGTCATGTCCAGTAAAGCATTTCAGGATGTCAGAGTCAAGGGCCTTGTGGGTAAAGTAGAAGTGTTCGAGTTGACAGCCTCGAATATAGGGACAGACAGGCTTATGTGGCATATTTAGGTTTGATGGAATGATGAGATTGAAGAGGAGACAAGGTGATATGAAATAAAATAAGGATCAGACTGAGGTCGACTTAGAGATTTATTGTTATAAGGTAATCAATTTAAGTAATCTTCATTGACAGCACCGTCATGATCTTCAGTCTTCTTTCATGCAATGTGCAGCCATTCAATGCCCCTTAGTACACAAAGAGCCTTTCGTCATTTAGCCAGGTATAACAAATTATAAAGACTTTCTTCCTAGGTTAATTGGATACAAAACATGAGGCGCCTGACACTCATGCAATGCACAAACATCATAATTGATTGGAGCCCTCAAATGACTCTTACTGTGATGCGACTTTTGTTTTCTTTTGAGTAATTATACTTGGTAGCTCCATCTTGGCCACCGGAACAAACAGAATTATTGGTCATAGAATTATCGCCTTTGTTCATTTGGCATTGACTATGAGTTTGACTTGCTGGTGAAGGGACTTTCGCTAATCATGGTATAACATGTCATACACCCAATAGACAGAGTAAAGGTTTTATTGCCCTGTCGTTTATGCCTTACAATTGTCAATGATGTGTTGAGGTCATCGCCAGCTATGTCAGGTGACTTTGAGAGCTTCCTTGCGGTCATGCAAGTCAAGCAGGTACGCCCATTCTTGACCCCTATTTATTTATCAACATCCTCTCATTATCATTTGTCTTCGTCCTGTCGCACAAGTCGAAATAGGAGATCCTCGATGCGGCCCGCCAACTTCCGCCCGCCGTCACGGACTCGTCGCCCAGCGTGTCTTTGAAGAAGATAGGCAGATCTCTTTGTCGATGAGGGCGAGAATGACGAAGGAGCGGCAGATACAGAAGTGTCAGAAGACGCCTTCGCATCCGAAAAAGACAAAAAGACCCTCACCTTCGATGAGACCTGTCCGTCGTCCGCGCAAGAAAGGTAGTGCCATGGTTGTTTTATGCATTCCACCGCAAAGGTCCCTGACTGCACACCATGGCGGACTGCCACGAAGAAGGCTCTGACTCACGCTTGCTCATACCTCAGGAATACGTCGGAGGCGCAATTCGAGGAGTTAACATGAATCACCGGTGATGTCTACCTCTCGAAGAGGACTTTGATCCATTCTCGGTCAATATCCTATATACAGCAAATGCAGACAGTCCTGATGGCTGCTGTACTGGTGGGGCTGTATAGACAAAGAGGAGGACGAGCCCGAATATGAAGACTAGACACATTGGGTCCGCTGTAGATCAATCAAGGAGTTCTTTTTCTGCTTACTGAGTTGTCGCTGCATAGTGTCTCATACGTCTCAATATCGCCTTCAAGCAACCCAGCTCCAACATGCTCGGGGCCCTTGTTGAGGGTCTTAGAATATTAAGCCGAAGAGTGATCTTTAACCTTACTCCTCAGATGTCTGCAAGAGAAGATGCTGCCTTCTTCAAAGGCTCATCCAGCTAAAGTTATAAGCCAACATGGCCAAGAATCCATTCACAAGCTGGTACAATGCCACAGGGTTCTTCAACTTCTTAGCCCAATAAACCAAAGGTCCGCGTATTCCAACCTTATAGGTGATGTAAATTATGCTGATCAGGCTATAAATGCGACCCCATTTTCCTTTAGCTCACACTGGCGGAATCTAATCGCAAAAGGCAGCTCGAGTCATCGGTAGTCATTGGCTGTTAACCTTCATATGATTTAAAGCATCCTCAAATATCACAAAGACGTCATAATATCACACTGCTATGAAGAAATTCTATTCGTCCTGCGTCGTCAAGCTGACCCTTCCTTTGAGCTCTTATGGCCATGTTTTCACCCATGATTATATCATGACGCTGCATTTTTTCTTTGACTATATTGGTCATTCCGTCCCCTTTAACCTGTTGAGCGCCAGGCACAGCTTGTCCCAATTCAACGCTTCTTTCCCTTAGACTTTTCCCTTTTGCCCATCAACCAATATCAAACCTCACCTTTTTAGACACTACTTGCCAAGTAGTGCACAGCAGCGTCACTGAGCCCTTTCAAAGCATTTTATCACGAGTGAGCGATACCAGTTCGGCTGCAATGGTTCAATTGCCCCTTAGACAGTCACCATCATCAGGCTTGCATAGCTACGGCACCAGGCCCTTTCATAAAGGCCATCCAAGCAGGTCGCTGAACTGAACACTCGAATCCAGTACCTCACTTTCCCGATTTATCGTCTTATGTATAGACTTAGAACAGCTGGTCTGGTGACAACGCATTTCGAACCCGAAGCTTCAAGCACATTATTTCGCCTAGCCTTTTCCCAATAGCTTCGTCACAGATCCTTATGGCGAACCTAATCATAAGACAAGGTCAATGTCATATCACAGTCACTATGCATGCCGCTCTTTTCTAAATCAAGAAGCGAGGTTTATTATCCAAGCCTGCTGACCCTGTCTTATGATCAGGTTCGCCATAAGGATATGTGACATTAGAAATAAAGAAGAGAAGTTTACCATCCAAGCCTGCGTTATAAGACTATGGCGTAAAGTATGAGCCCAGATCGCCGTTGTTGAAACGATGAAACCGAGAGTCCAGGACCAATAGTCATCAACCTTTAGCTTGGGCCTTGTCCTCCTGACTGGCATAATGCCTAATAGATTAACCAGTGATAGACGAACTGAACATGCTCCTCTTCCCATAAACCAGAAATCACAGTATTTACGCGCTCTAGGTTTGAACCAAAAGGAGATCATACAGGTAGCCAATGATAAATCGTAAGAGCCATGATAAATCATAAGAATAATACACAGCATTCAACTACAAAACATCTTCAATCCTGCTATTGCTCATGGCTCTTAATCAATTTGTCAAGCAATAGTTTAACGTCATATATAAGCTTGGCTAAGACAGTATAAGGAGGTTATATTTTGTTAATGTACAGCCCACTAAACATTGTCCAGTTTGCTAAATAATGTTACGGTCAATAGGTTCAGTCTCCCATCTCTCACTCCCGCTTTGGGCAACTATTAGCACCTATGAGTCGTTCACTTCTTACTTATGCTTTATTTGTGAGGATAAAGTATGTTACACTCCAAGTCGATGAAAGGAGACTCTGTTCAAGGTCTTGCAAACTAACCTAGAGACTATCTAGAAAAGGGATCTGAGTTCAAAATCCGTGAGCTTATAATGGGATTTGTCTTTGACCTCCAAACAACGGGGGTATGTCTCGGTGATCACTTTGCAGTCTGTTGATACTCGTGAAGTGTTATTTGGTGGATAAATTGGCAGTGTTGAACGAGATGCGGGTTTGGGGATGTAGCTGACATTATTATATGAAAGTGTTATAGAGAGCTACGGCGGTAGCAATGTCCTGAGCAGGATTGGTCACAGGGGAGTATGAGTTGCCGAAGACAAGCGTTGCATGACAGCAGTTAGACCGTACCATCGTGTGATCAGGCCGCGAGGATTTCAACTCATAAGTGACAATTCGTTCAAATAGGTGCACGAAGATAGGAGGATGACTGAACCTCGCAAAAGCCATGAGCGGAAAGTTGGATGCCAGCATTAGCTGGGTGAGCGTGAGAAATCTTGACGGTGACGGCAGCAGTGTATTTTGATGATCAAGTCAAGACAGGAATTGATACCAAAGCACAGAAGCTGACGATCAAAAGATTTAACGAAACCGTGGACGCTCAACCTCGCACAGCGTGAGGCTTTTGGGGCAATAATCAATGGCTTCAAGTCTTGTGCCGTTTATACCGTGGTCACAGGACAGGATGAGAGTTTTAGTTCGATCACCGGTCTCAACGATAGTGGAAAGTCAAATATCCTCGATGCGATATGCTTCGTTCTCGGAAGTACAAACATGTGAACCGTTTGAGCGCAAAATCTAGAGGACCTGATATGTGACTGTGCTGAAGTTGTTGTCATAAAAGCCAGCGTCATAATTGTTCTTCACAATTGGGAAGCTAAGGAGTCGCCGATCGGATTTGAAGAATATGCCACCATCAGCATGATACGAAACGTCGTCCTTGGAGGAACATCCAAGTACCTCATCAACGGACACCGCGCTCACCAAAGAACAAAAGCTAAAGTAGAAAGCTTGATGGGAGAAATCAGGGGTATATTTCACGAGAATCTCTACAGTAATGGGGGTGTTGAGAAAAAGATAAATTGTTTAATACTCTGATGCGTGGTGGTAAATCTCTGAGCGCTGTGGAGAGGTGTATTGGAAGCATGGCCAAGTAGTGATAGGCTAAATTGAGAAAGGGCAACGACTTGTTAGCGCTGAAGTAATACGTAAGAAGATGATTTGCGAGCCTAGAGCATATGATTGTTATGAGAGGAAGTGGAGTACGATAAACAAGTGCCGGTACAAGTTTTAGGAGGAGTTGAAATTCAGGAGGTTTGTCGGGAGAATGAAGGGATTGTTAGCCCTCTGGGCTATCTTGGAAAGGTGGAAGCAAGAATATAGACTACCCCTGATTTCATAATAGAGCGAAGATTGTGAAGCAGAAAACCATCAATTAATAGTGTTGCTGGAGTTGGGCTTGTGATGCTTGGTGGCTCTTAATAGCTATGAAGAAGCGTTCTTGAGACATACGAGGCTGCACACGTCTCAGCCTTTTCTCGTCACTATGGCTGACATGTTAGATCTCCAGACAGGCGTTCTGTATCGGGATGTCACGAAGGCTTGCTTAGAGAATAATGCCAGTGTAATAAGCAAAGTCCAGCATAAGAAGCTTACAGGCAGCGTCTTGACAGACCTCGAGCAACTGAATGGGGTTGTGAGATATCACGAAACATTCGATCTGTAGTATATGGCGCGTATCATACTGCTAAGAGTGGTAAAATAGAATCTGGAACCTGGCAGGGGCCTGTTAGACTTCATTGCATGTTGGCGGTGCTTGTGTGGGTTTTCTCATTTATCAAGTGATGTCTTCATCAGCATTGACTACCAGTTTATCGGTGTCGCCGTGCCAATTAATAACTACAGGCGACTTCCACTAGTCTCTTCCTTAATTGCCTTGGTCTACTTCGCATGCATATCGAATACCGCTTTCAACTGTTACACAGGAGAATTGGCTCTCTTTGCAGTCCCGTTGCTAGAGCCATATTTCATGCCAACTTACATTTCAGGAAGAAGCGATACGTAGTTGAAAATGAAACAAGATAGTCTGGCCGTCCATACAGCGTTTCTCACAGGAGTGAACATGCCTCATCTGAGATGTGCACTTCTGTGCCCCTCCTGGCGACTGATGCTACTCTATCATAGAGCAAGCTCAGCTAGTCTTAGGAACAGGTATTAAGCAGGGTCTATTACTAACATAATCTCCAGTGATGTCATAGAGAAGGCTCTTCACACTCATGAGAAAGGGCAAGTTGAGGATGGGAACAAGGGGGCGACCAAGATGACTAGAGCCAAAGGTGAGCGATCAACTGTCTGTTTTTATTGATCATGCTAAGCTTCCTCTTTGCACTGAAGTATAGTCGCCCTCGATGTTCTTACTATAGTTCAGTCTTTGCGAACAGAGTAGCATCGATCTGCGCGCGGTCTTGGTTTTTTGCCAGCGCCAGATCTTTTAGACAGTTTATACGGATTCTAATGCTATAATAATGATATTCGGGATTTACAAAGTTGGGATTTAAAGAGAATATGACGATTGGACCTCCTTTGTGCTAGCCCAAGAAACCGTACCAAACGTCATCTTCCTTGCATCTTAAGATGGCAATTAAAGATAACAACCTATGCCTTCTGTCCCTTTTCCCCTCCCAAATCGTAGTTGACTCTGTTGATTCATAGCCAGCTAGGCCGGTAAATACGAGCCGTATATCCAAACTTTTGTAAAGTAAGCACCATCTGCCCAACGCGACCTTACGACCCTTCCAACACTCCGCTTGCTTAGAGCCCTCGCCTACACAAAGGGTAAGCTCCCAAGAAAGGTGTCTTGAAGGAAGATCTGATTTTTTCCGTTGCGAGCACGATATAAAACCCAGATTCAAGTAAAATTGCCGGGTACTCAGTCTCTCCACAGTTCCATAGATAACCCGAAGCGTCACAGATGATCACCTGGGTGTCCTCCATTAAAGCGACCAAGAATGGGAAACCTTACATCTTTTCCATACAGACACGGATAGCTGCCATAGCTTAAAGGGCTTTGTTTGGAATAGACCAGGGTTAGTAAACGGTTTCGTGGTTCGATGATACTACATAACGTTCTGACATCTGGTCATCGCGACAGACATCTACCCACATGGTCTGCACTGTCCCAGCATTCAAGCACATGTGTTCTTTATCATTTTGCAGGGCTTGAAGTCTTTTCTGCCCACGAAAAGTATTATCAACTTCGGTCACTATCCAGTCTATCGTTCAAGCAAGCAAGTACTTCGACAGTTGGTAAGATCCACATATGCTCAATCCAGTCATGCACAACAATGGCTTGTTTCTCCCTATTTCGATCGGGTTCTATTGGTATCTGATTGTAGACAAGAGATCGACTGCTCAGCAGCACTCGGTTCCTGTAATACCCTCATTGGTCATTGAATGGCGCAAGACACTGGCTTTATGAAAGGGAATATTAGGCCCACCATATTAACCCCTTTTCAGATTGCTCGATCAATATGGAATGAATTTTCACGAATGTCTTATCTCAATAGAGTCTCCAATGTTTTCAATGTAGTAATCCAACATGTGCCTGACGAGCTATAGTATCACAACGAGCACCGCTTGAGCTCCTGCATAATGTTCTTGCAGGAAACTCTTGAGTGGCCCATACCATGCGGGAAGGTCCATATCCCGAGTTAATGCCATGGTACTGCTATCTGTAGCCTCCTCTTCGTAATAGTCAGCATGATAATAACTCCCTGGTTGGAGCAAAGGTCGGGATGACGCAAGCTTGATCCGCGTAGTGGTAGTGGAAGCGGAACATTGATAGATGAGGTGCATGCTCCCACTTTCAATTTTGAGCAAACGATTGGGAGATACAGAGTAGGTGACTGCGGGCGTAAAAGAGCAAGGTGAAAGTAGATGTTAATATTTACACTTACCAATACATAGTGTTTATTCTGAATAATGACTCTGATGTTTCTTTATGGCCATAAGTAGAAATAATTCGTAGGACAGTGTATAGGGGGAAAAAAGGAGGAAAAGAGAGATATCCCTCAACTATTCAGGGTATGTCGGGCAATTATAATGCGTCTGTAAAGGAACTGAAACAACTTGATCCCAATTCTGAAAATTTCATCATCGTTCTGAACTGTCAGAAACCTCCTAAACTCAGTGTTCACAATGCGCTGATTGTCACTCGAGTCTACCGTACAGTTCTCGTTTCACCCAATCATAGGGCCCAAGTAAGCGAATCTCATCTCCGGCCCCCAGTTCACAAAAGCAACACCTGACCAAAAGCTGACACTCTGAGACACGGGACAGCGCCCAGCCCCCCGAGAAAGCACGGTGGACTAGAGGCAGGGCGGGCTCTTGGACGTAACGCTGGTTACCTGCCTTGCTCTCTCACAAAAGTCACTTCCTCAAGTACATGGGAGGTGGATTTGGTCTCGGTGTTAGAAGCTGTCTGGACGTTCCCAATTGGGAATCTCCTGTCAAGATTTGAGGCGTCAGCCGCGCAAGGGTATTCCTAAGACCGCCAACCTCCGCAGATACACAATGTTATGTCTTACATAAAGATGCTTGTATAACAATTATGCAGCACTGCACCCCCATGTAATCTTCTTGTTGATAGTGCATTGCCAGCCATTCTGGTTATACTCTGAGCACGAAGTTAGCGCGAATGAGACTAATTGCCAGCGCTTTGACAAACGCTAACAATTGGCACATAGCAGACGGAAGAGACACCATGAGAAAGCTCGCCAATAATTATATCGTGCAAGACTGACCACTTGGTATTAAGAACGCATGCACATGATTCGGCTTTTCAAGACCTAATTGTACCAAGCAAGTGTTGTTGCTCTCGCCTATCTGGTGTCTCAGTTGCCAAGGGCAAAGCACCTGTACTTGGCTTCTTAAGACTCCAGGTATAAGGCCTGGTGATAGTCTGATAGTCCGACGACTTTCCTCCTTTGATGTGGAATCAAGGCAAAGCTGGCAGTGGAAAGGTCAACACTAATTCATTTTCTGAGTCGTGTACAAAGCTACAGGGCGAATGATGAATATTGTCATTCTTCGTTAATGCTTGTAGCAAGGATCTGAAGGCTCCATAGTAGGGCTGTATTGCTCGGCGCTGTTCTAGCTCTATCAACAGTGAAGAGTTACAGCTCTGTGGGCTTGTTGCCGTGCCATGGGGCTGCATATTGTTGGAGGTGCTGATGTTGGAAGTCAGAAACATGCAAAGCAATGTGAGCGCAAATTGACTCGGTCTTACGATGGCCATAGCCTCAGTTGATGTATTCGGTTTCAATCTAATGAAAAGCAGGAATCTCAACTTTTGCGTCCCAGGTCGCATAAGAAACAGGAATCCTGGGCTATCATCCGCAGAAATGCCTGAAAGATGAAGAGAAATCAGCGATTTAAGGATATCAAACAATGACACGAAACAGGAGTAGCGTGTGCCGGGAAGGACAGCTTCTATGCCTTACTTTTAGGAACCAGTTCCAGCGTATATTTCCAAGGCGAGCGGAAGCGGCTTGGAGAGTGCTTACATGGGCTTTCTGGCTGTGTCTTATGGATAAGGTATTAAGATGATGTTGAGCACTATGATTAAGTGTCATAAAGAGGCGTTACTGTATAATTATACTGAGGCTATATATGAAGCACTGAACTAAGCTGAAGGTTATAATTAAATCCAATCCGATAAATTCACTATATTAAAAGCTCTGTCCAAGGGACGAAGCACCTGGTCGTAAAAGATTGCTTCTCCCCGAATGCGTGGAGAACAGTGGTGTCAGTCAACGCGCCCTTGAAACACCCATCTGCGCATCCTCTGGCACAACCTCGGATGTGTTGGCGTAATGCCATATATTCTAGGCTTTCCTTTTCCTCTCGTCCGAAATATCTTCGATGCCTAAGAAGGAGAGCCTGGAATAGGACTTTAGATCTTGTCTGATCGCGGTTTTCATCGCCATTGCTTGATGTCTCGCGCGGGTCATGCAGCCTCGTTGAGCGGGAACTCCGATTGTCTCGATCAAAGGACATATAAGACCTTTTTGGGTCAGCGCTGGGCGGTACCATGCCATCGATTATGTCAGCTATGGGTTATCCTAAAGCGTATGATATATCAACGACATATTACAACCTCATGCATCAAAAAGTCCCAATTAACTCAAGCTCCAGTAACACTATACTCAATGCAAAGTGGTCATGCCCAGTGGTTTGTTCAACAACATCCTGGCTTCTGTGTCGATCTGGGTGCTTGACTTTCCATGAGACATCAGCTTCATGCACAGTTTAGTCGCCATGGACGTCACGTGCGAGTTGGAAAACATATAGGTCATTGGCCGGCGGATGAAGGGTCGTGGAAGCCTTGATGAAGAGCTGTACTCATTGCGTTTGGGTGGATGTGTGCATCTAGCCTACACCGTGTAAAAAGGCGAATGCAATATCAAGGCGCTGCGCAATCTCGAATCTTATACTCAAGGAATACATGGGCTTTGGGTCATCGGTGATGAGCGTGTCAAGTCGCGTGCAGTCTAAACTTCCGGGTGGTGAGACTAAATGGTAAATTCAACTAGTCGTTAGTATCTATAAGACGATAAATTGTGTATGAGAGAAGGCTTGAAAATGGCAGTTAGTTGGCCCACCCGCTGCTCCAGCTCTGCTGCCACTCGTGCATCTGCCCAAGAGGTGTATGGGCGGACCTCAACCAACACGCTACCCGGGATTGTCAAGATCGCTGCAGAATCCTGCGACTGTGTTGAAATTGCGTCCTCGCTCATGCTGATTTGTTATTAGCAAAGAGGTCTCTACCATTGCTCTATTGTTGATGATGTTGTTGCATGAGCGCATGGACGACCTTGATATCATCAAGAACCGATTTCCTCTGTTGCCCCAATGCAACAATGACTAACAAGAGGCAGACAAAGAGCTTATGCGAGTTTATCAGGACTGCTCTCCCTGAGCGCTTGCACTAATGAGAGCGTCGCCGACTCTGAGTACCAACTTGAGGCGACTATATGTAGCTGAACCCAAGGGTCTTCTCAACCCTCTAGCGCGATAGGTCAGGTCACAGCAACCCGCCTCCTTATCAATCTGGGCCTACTCTTGACATCTAGCTTAAGATGAAGGAACTTGACCCTCAACTCAACTCAACACAATAGCCTCATGTGTTAACTCTTCCCCGGCGCACTCACTCCCAAGCCATACCCTTTTACGACCTTGAGTTATGTGGCCTGATCTTACAGTCGCCCTGAAGAGCTCGTTCCAGAACGATTCTTCAATGAGATTTATATGATACTCTCGATTCTCAGTAGCAACACCAGGGCAAGGATAATGTAGCTTGAGTGTTTATTCTGAGGCGAACTCTGGCATCATTAAGTGCAAGATACAGGACAATCTCGAATTCCTTCAGTAGACTAAGTGATTTTGGGATCTCAGCTTCCCCAATCATGAGTAGGATGCCATTGCCCACCGAAAAGATGGCCCAATGCCTCTTGCTCCCGCCCTACCCCGACCTGTCGCTAGCACTGGCGCTGCTCGCTTTGTAGGTAGTTAACCCCGGTGGTGGACCTCGAATTGCAAAGGACGCCAAACCTGCTACTCTAGCTAACCACCAAAAGCAGTATATTAAACACCAGTATCCTCAACATGAAGTCAACATACTGCATCCCCACACACTAATTTAAAAGACCTACCTCCGCCAGACTTTGAGGACTTCAAAACAATAGGAGCTTTACGGGTAGCCGACCGGCCGATGGCGTTCATCATTCCACTATGTTCCCCGCCAAGCCATGGGCGAAGGGTTGTCCCTCACAATGCAATCTGTTGGCTCCGTAGGCATTGATACCTCGGAACTGAGCCATGAACACTATGAGAAGAACGTCGGTAACACGAGGTTTATGATGAGGCAAGGGCACCGAGACATAGATACTGGATAAAGAGGAGCGCGTTGGCCGAGTGGGAAACTATAGCACTGGTCAATAATACACAGCGAGATGATATTATCTACAGGAGTTAACCTACCAGTTTAGTCGAGTGATTATCACACGGTTGATTCCGACACGAACTATTGTCAACTCTCAGAAGGTGTGTAAATTTACCAAAGTCTTAGGCACAACACAACGACCCTATCGTGAAACGTCGTCATGGTAAAACCTTTGCTATCACTAATTAACCCCCTGAATTCTCATATTTCTACCTCTGCTTCGAGACAAGCCTTCTATCTTGCCATAAAGAGGTGTCAGATCTGTGGCTGTGTCTGTGCTTGTCAAAGAGTCTGGGCAAGGGTCTCGATATATAGTTGAGTACGGTTGCCCTTAGTTGGGTGTGCGCTTCATATGCTTGGTCCATAGGCCACAGCCAGAGGTATCGACACAATCGAGGGCAGGGATGGTAGGAGTGCGCCAGTCGCCATCCCCCTCGTCGTTCCAGTCATCAGACTTCTTGACCTCGGAATCAGGAATGCGATTCTGTCAAGGACGGATCGGCAGTCAGTGATACTCACAGAGGATCCCCTTGCTATGCACATCGCGTCCGTACCGAAAGTCTCTGAAGTTGTACAAAGGTCTGGTAACAAGCCCACCCCTATGTACAAGGCATGCTTTTCGAAAGGTGAGAGGTAAATCGAACTATGCATTACATTTGACAGCTTCGATACAAACTTTCCTTTTGCTCATCCGGCAGATTTCATCTCCCCGGTATGCATGAACATTTATCGAGAGCTCTTGCGAGCAGGTAGCGGAGGCTGTGACCACAACAGCTCAAGTGAAGTTCGTGGGACTGTAGATAAAGAGAAGAATCTGCCGTGGAAAAAGACGCGGTTATCTGGACCTATAGGGTATCATGAAGCTAACTGTTCCAAGTTCGAAGATGCCGTGTTGAAATGGGAAGGAGAGGACATGCATGGGTAGTCCATTGATTCTGGCCAGGGCGAGCTCGTTTCGACGAGTTGGTGCTATCCTACTGCTGGCGCTAGATAGACCACTCTGCTTTGGGTTGAGGCCAAGATATTCAACGTTGATAAGAACATTCGCCCGTCGAACATTCTTCCTCGAGAGGGATAGGTTGAAGGGAGAGAGCCTGCGCGGCGGGTGACGTCGACTGCATCTTCTTTGAGAATCGGAACATGGAAGCAGGAGGTCGGAAGTCGGGTGCATTGAATGAGCCCTAGTTTATTGATGAGTGCAGAGGTGCAGGACGGGAAGGTCTTTTACGCGACCAAAGAGCGAGAGGGAAGATTGGCATCAAGGGGCTCATTGGATCACTGAATGTATAATTAAACAGCTTCATACACGACCGAACTGGCAATATGCCACGGTTGTTCTTCTGAGGGTCGTTGTTGAGATCAGGAAAACCGGGATTTCGAGCTACATAAAACAAAGGCTGTATGATCATGAGAAAGGACATATCAAAGAGAACGGGGACTATTCATCTTGAGGCTATTGAGAAAGCGCTCCCGTTCCTTGTCATTATTCATGATAATGTCTTGGGCGACGTTGTTATTTGCAGCGCCTTTGTGTGCAGGCCTGGCTCTGGACAAGGACAGGGCCGAGGCGAAGTGATAAATATCGAGCTTGAAGTTTCTCCATATAATGAGATCAATCGATAATGACCAATGTAGAGAACCTTGAGGAAGAGGCTCTTCCTACCAGCTGAGTTAGTGAAGGCGAACCCCATAAATGGTTGTAGGTGTGAAGCTCTTGCTGATTTCACAATTCACATATTAGATTCCTCCGGTGCACTACTGAAGGTTTGCTCGAGTTTTGTTACCGGTCCTTCCTATTTCAAAGGGAAAAGAGGGAATGGTTCACTTCAAGCCAGTGTCGCTCTGATGAAAATTAGGACTTGGCAAAGGAGTCCTGCACTACAGATTGCGGATACTGCATAGAATAAACCGAAGAATCACTTGTGATTATATCTCCCAGTGTCTGGGCTGGTGTTTGATAGGTATGTACTTTGACGTGAGGACCGTCTTCGCGTACTTAAATGTCATCTAAAACACCGCTAAATGATTATTCATACAGGGACTGCAGTATCCTGTTCCACTTGTCTATGAGAGAAGACCTGGGGGAAGTCTCCATCTTTCGAGACTGAAAAACAAATAGAAAAGATGCTTTCGGATACGGCATCATTCTCAGTCCCTGTCAAGAGTATATGCTTCCTACGCATCCTGTGGTAATTCCCGGCTCGTCTCATAAAGCCCGTGAAACTGCACATCGGTAGGTTGAGAGAATGCCGTCAGTTATCAAGTCAGCCATTCATGCACAGCATAGGAGAAAATCGTAGATTACACCAGGAATAGCTTGCGGTAGGATATGGCGTCTAAGGGGAGTAATTTATAGAAGGATCATGCAGCAAGGAGAATTTGGCAAAAGTGCGACGAGGAATTGTATTCATGGCAGGCGGCATCTCTTGTGTTATTGACGCCAGCCTTCAAGATTCCATTACGGCCTGTAGAAAGTCATTAGGGATCAGGAGTATGCATCAAACTCATCACAGACACTAACCAGGAACAGAATATCAGTTTGCTTCTTTCATTATTGAATAGGCACATGGGATCCCAAGTTATTGGGATATAACTCACAGATATCTTCATCTTCCAATGGTCTGGCTGGTTCCTGATTACCAAGTGACTTGGTCACCTCATGCTTCATTTAGATCAATCGGTACAGTGTCTGTCAAGTGTTGAATTGCAAGATATAGTTTAGACTACATAAGATAATTTTAAGTCCACTGATAACCGACCGGACTGAACAATATCGACAAGTCTTGCTTTGCCAACCATCAGCCATCTTAACCGCTTCTATCCAATATTCGCCCAAACCGCGCCAAAGTGGTGATTGATTATCATCCTGACCTTGGCGCTTTTGAGACTGTTGATGATGATAGCTATTGGCCATTATACTCACAGAATGAAAGCGCGGGGCTGAATCGAAAGTCATCTGAGTATGTCAGGGTTGCAAATGCTGATGGCAACTAGAGGCACTAAGAGCCGCTGCCAGAAAGAGCAGACCCAGGACAAGAAGGTTAGGCAAGCTGTCCGAAGTCAGGCTTAGGCATTCTGGTGGACTGCTCAAATTATCGTGCCGTGCTGTTATATTCCCTTGGGAAACAGATACATCATTCTGTTTCTTATCATCCTGACGGCCTCGCTCTCTCAGCTTCCAAGCATCTGGCTGACCCAATTACCAAGCATCAACTCATGGTCGAGTTCAGACGCGCCTGTACAGGCAAAACTCACCACCATTCAAGCTATGTGGATAAATGACTCGATAACGGGCACAATTTCAGCGATCAGGAATGATGGCCAGCCGAGCAGGATCATCAGTAGCTCGAGACTAGGGTGAAATGAGTGTGCCTATAAGGTGTCGATAGAACACGGCAACGGTCGCTGCTGAATGCGTTGATGAGCAGAAGGCGATGGTCGTGACTGGGTGCTCGTTGATCTAATCTTTAGGTCGTAGGAGTGAGAAGGGTTTGTAACCGTGAAGTCTGTTCCTGTTCGTCTCCATTCTGGTCACCAAGGCCTCACTAGGGACTGCGTTCTCGATCTCGGCGATGATATGAAGCCCAGTGCAGGAGGGAGGTGATTGATGAACACAAGACAGTGCCAAGAGGCCGTGTTATTGGCAGCGACATTCCATGGACCAGAGAGGCTACGACCATGGAAATTACCAGACGAAGACGAGGCCAAAGCCATTGTGGTCGAGACAAGGCACGAGACGCGAGAAGACCACGGCTTCGCTGTAGGGACGTTGGAACTCATGGACAAAACAAGAATGAAGAGGATTTGTTGTGTGGTCGGAATAAGTAATGCACCTCGAACAAGCCGCCGATTTTCCGATCAGGGGAGTGCACATTAGTTGAGTAGATGGTACTTGGCCAGAATGATCCAAGAGAACTCTGACGAGAAATTGGGTGGAACGATTGGCGCTCTGGGATGCAGATTCATCGCTTCTTTCCAGGCCGGCTCGACAAAGCAGACTATCAACCACAGCAGGAATGGAGCACGAGAGCCTGAAGAAAGAAGAAGGGCTTGCAAATGAACAAGCAGAAGTTCGGAGCGTGCAGACTTGCCAAAGTCACCGGGACAGTATGCATACCTGGGGAAAGACAGCAAGAGACATGGTTGCGCACCAAAGGACCCCAGTGTAGCAGCCAAGATAAAGAACCCCACGGCGCGCATCTTCGAAGTTCCTTGCGAAGAATCGATTCAGTGGCGGAGGCAGCTGATGTTTATTATTCTCAATCCCCAGGTAAACCCAGCTCACGAATGTCGCTGCCCTGCTTCAAGTCGTGAGCTCCTCTCTGGTTAGTAGACTTGAGCCATATGAAGGAGGATCGATCCGTCCAGTCGTCATTGGACTTGGCTCTGGGATGCATCTTGTGCGATTGCGTCTTGGGACAAGTCGAAGTGTCAAGTTGATGATTATGCGACAACGGACAAAGTGCGCTCGAGATCACTTGACGTTTAAGAGACCGGGCTTGAATTGTCGAGGATGAAATGATGCCAACAAACAAGCACAAATGGCCAACCGATCTGGAACGGAACATTGATTTCCCGCACATCACTCACTGCGGTCTCAAATTGACTCACGAGCTGGAATAAAGACCATTAAAGCCAAACCATTGCCAAATTTATGAGGGTAGTAATCTTTATTTATTCATTCATTTCTATCCTTTTGGGATATTTTCGTGACTGGAAAGCAGAAGCGCGTTTGTGTCAGCAGTATTTTAGCGTCCGCGTTCTTCCTACAGTGAGTGAGTGCAGTGCAGCCCTCAGTAAGTTTCATTCTATTACACAGCAAACTCGTCCGCCTTTAAACTACTCAATTGCAGGTATTAACTTGAGATTATTTGTTTTACACGTGTCAGCCTCCTCTGATGCGCAACAGTGAAAGGTATGACAACTCAGCATCACCAACAGCACAGCATCGACAGAATACAGAGCCTCCCCTTAGACGCAATCCCAAACTCAATCCGACTAGACCTTTCCGAGGCGACGAATGAACATTAACCAACATTCCGAATTCGGCAATTTAGGAATCAATGCAAGTTCCCACGTGCTCCATCCACAAGATCAAAAGGTTGCTGGCCTGAATTGAAGCATCAGTCAAAAATCCGCCACAGACAGATGTTGTTACCAGCACATATCAGCCAAATGGGAGATTGAGAGGCCAAGAGGTACAGCGACAATGAAATGCTTGTCATTGAGAGCAACATGGCTACTCAGTGCAGATAATCATGCGCCGCTGGACGTATCGAAGCTCATCGCCATTAAAGACGCAGCGCACACAATGCCGTTGGCCATTAGAGAACCTTGTCCAATTTTCCTGCAGTCAACGATTGATACTCAGTCGAAACAAGATCCCGACGATGAATAACTCTTCAACGTTGGTCAAGGGCGCATCGTGTTCTAAGGCTGGATCAGCATATCCCCCTCGTCGATCAAGATGGCTACCCCGCCGTCGGGCACATGGCGGCTCTCAAGCTCCTCGAGCGATAGACCCGGCCACGCCAGCCACAGCTTCTTGCCCTGCTCCGTCAGCGCAGTGGTGTAAACGCCATGGCGATCGACGTGCTGGAGATGCGCAGCGCCTTTGGACGCGAGGAGCTGGAACGTTAGACAGTCGTCCAGGTCGCGCCATTCCTGCTTCTCTGACTTGCCGTTATCGGTGCGCGTACGCATCAGGCCGTAGTCTTTATCATTGGAGAAGCACACCGGAATAGCGTTTTCTTTCAGACAGCCGATGTTCAGAAGGTTGACCGGGAGACCGCCGCTGCTGCTTCGCTCGGTAAATAATTCAACAGCCTTTGCGGAGGGAAGTCTCTCGGGATGGTAGCTCAATAGTCCGTCATCATCCTTTTCAAGGGGCTTCCCGAAATCATGTGCATCAAGAGAATCCCTTGAACTAAGGATATCAAGGACCTCCGATATCTTCATCCGCGCTCGGTAGCTTTTTTGACGACGATCGGTAGACGCGGGGGCCCCTGACTGAGCAACCGTACCGCCTGTGCCATTGTACGTACGACGATCACGTCATTCGGTAGGTCGGGGTTCAGTGCCGTCTCGGCTGAAATCGGTCGTCCAATAGTAACCGTTGTCAAGAGCTCCAGCATGGCCGGGGCATCTATCTTGGAGCGAGAGTTGGTCGGTGCCCTGTCGTGTTGAGATACGAACTCCCGATTGGCTTCTTGGAGGGCGACTGTGGCTCGCTGGCGGTAATCACCGAGCATTTCCGAGGAGCTGGGTCATAGGGCTGAGACGCTTCCACTTTCTTCGACTTCCGTATCGTCGCCGTTGGAATCGCTGTCAAAATCGCCATCAGCACTTGTTCGTAGGAACCTTGTACAATGTCTTACCTGCTGCTTGCTGCATCGCCAATTCCGTTGACCGAAGTCGGAGACGAAGGCGTCTCCTGTTGTAGCCTCAATTGCCTGAGAGCCGGACAGTTCCTCTCATGATGGGATTTTCCCTTGCGGCCCCCGGTGTAAGACTGACCACAGCTGAGCAGGCAAGATTCACACTGTTTCTCCTAGAGATGTGTTTTCAAATTTCCGGGGCGCGAGAATACATGACCGCACTGTTGGCACTTATGCTGTACCTTTTTATGGTATTTGGCAACATGGTCTTTATAGTTAGTGTAGAATTCCCGACACTCTCCACACTGTTTACATCCCTCCTTCTGATGCTTATACCAATTCGACTCTGAGTACCACGTCCCGCATACCCGGCATTGGATATCCTCCTTGGAACCCATGATGAAATGTCTGAGAGAAATAGAGCGGTCCGTCTCTGTGCCGATCAACCGCGCAGATGTGTACTCCAGATGATGAAGCTGAAGTAAAAGGGCGGGTTGCTTACAAACAGAACAGCACGATATCTTGAACAGAACAGAGAGTAAAGAGGTGCGATGGTCCAACGGCGCAGGCAGTTGAATATATCACAATTACAGAGAGTAAAGAGGAAAACAGCCAGGAAAAGTATCTACCCATCACTACATTGTTTATTTACCCTCCTTAGATCCGTTAATGCTGCTCGTGTCCGTTTAACTCTGGTAGAGTGACAGGTATCAAAAAGCAAACGCTTCCAGTGCTTCCCGTACTGACTAGTGGCGGGCAATTGTGATAGAGCGGGAAGATGCAGATTAACAGCGTAGTATGACCAGGTCTGCCTGCGCACGTCCGGCAATCCAAGAAAGAAAGTCAGAACTGACATATTTGTTTTCCATTCTGCTACATGTTTAATGGTCGTGAGAAACTATATTGCATTAACCAAAGGAAGCAGCTTCATTGTTGATGTGTTGTGTTTGGGGAATTATCTTTGCGGTTTTGGTGATGGGTTCGTACAAAACCGCAGTTGTCGGGCGGTCTAGTCTACTAATTCTTTCCAACAGCATATACGGTCTCGGCAGCGCAGGAGGACTTACAGGGAGCTCGTCTGGACCATTAGCAGCTTAACTTGGTACCGTCCCGTCCGCCAAGGATTTCGCCCGGTCGGGACTCTACACAGCGCCTTTCTTGAGGACAGGTCATTACACCCCTTCCAACAGCGCATTTAGTACAGCGTTCTCTCATTTGAACAGAACAGCGCAGTCCGACCAACAGCCGGCTCAGTCCCGACGGAACCTGCAAGGTTGATTCCGGCCGACAGCGGACATCCCCCTGCAACCGTGACAGTGGAGGCTAGGTCATGGATATCGGCACACCCGGCTGTGCCGATAGCAGCCTCCGCACGGGATCAATTGCCGTTGACTACGGATACTCCCTCGCATCTCAGTGGCATGCATGCATAATCCCAACTTATGTTTCAATCTATCCTCGCTTGCGGGAATAATCGTGAGATCTGCCCTCTATTCCCAATGATAAAGCTTATGCACTCACACTAACATAACGGCCAAACTCAATCTCAACATCAACGAGCTGCTCGGTGAAATATGCGTAATTCCCTTTTCAACAGTGCCTTTTCATAAAGTGTTGGTGCCGATGCAAGCAACCACGGCTAGGTCCCGTGAGGATTTTAAAAGAGATGAGAAATTGAACATGGCTGCTCTGCTAGCCGTCGGTGTTTGTTGGTGATACAGCGTGGGTCTTTGTTGCCCACATGCGTCATTGACACGCATCGCGCACTTGAATTTTGGAGTCATCAGCTCTTCAACAGCCCCTTGAAACAGATAATCATTTCTCACCTTATGGTAATCACTGACTGAAGTGTCTGGGCAAGTTGGGATATCCACAGGCGACACTCTGGGCCGTTGAGTCAGCTGTAAAACATGAGCGCCCGCCAATGTTGAAGTTGGGCGTTATGTCGTGGGGTCCCGAATTACCCCGCTGCGTTTCGGGGGGCGGGCTGACATCCCGCTCATGAAATTCATCACGGCTAGCCTGCAGGCCAGCTGACATGGGTTAGGCGACTGAGCTGGCCAATCAATAACTAATGCATCAAGGAACTGGAAAGGATGAAAGCCTCTTTACGCCTCTATGAAGATCAGACCTCTTTAAGGGATAGCTATGTATCATAGAACATGGCGTAAGGCTTGCAGTAGCGTACTGAAGCCCTAAGCTAGCCGTGATGGCGTTTATGAGTATTTACAGGAATTGCTGGTGGCGAGATTGAAATGCGCTGGACGGGGTCAGAGCGGCTCAGTATCATCAATAGCCATACGTTGGAAGCACTGACATGTAATCAAGTTCAAATGGGTGGATTCGTTTCATACCTGTCGTCTGACACCCAAGTTTCGGCACATCCTTTACGCTTGCTTCTCCGTCAATTTCAGCCTGCCCCAGCTGCTTCATCACCACACAGTTACTGCAACATCATCCTGCTCAACCTGTTACAGTGCCTGGATTGAAGGATATTACATGCAGCAATGGCCAGTCGCTCTTTTCAAAGCGCAATGTTCTCGCCATGTGGATCAAGGTAATTCATTATTGTGTATGGCTTGCTTCAAACTTGGATAGATATTCGCTTCAATGCAGGGTAGGCTGAGCTACTTGGAGGCAGCAGCCAGGGGCCTGTTTACAGAGGACTGCAATGCGGGGAGCTGTGCGCCGCTAAATGTGCTTTGCTATGGATATAGGCTGTGATGCGCTAACTCCTTAGCACATACGACCAAAGGTAGTGGAAAATACGGGATCCCGTCCGCTCTCCCATAGTCAAGCCACTAACCGGCGGATTAGTAGTTGGGTCGGTGACGACCAGCGAATCCCCGCTGTTGTATGTTTTTTGTGAATGAATTCATTTTTGACCAATTAACAGTATTTAAAGCTCAATTTCTGTCTTTTCGCATTGCTTGAACCAGATGCGATTAACGCTCACTGGCGGCTTCCTTGCCATCAATCCGCACTACCAAGCCATTTACACCAAATCTTCTAAAGGCGCATTATTCAGGGCCCAAGAAGCTCACCGTCACTTCCAGCGACATGCATTTGCCCATTGCTTTTGAAAGCTAAACATGGCATTTGGTCTAGACCCAGCAGATGTCGGTCCGTGAGCTCCATTGACTTTCTTTTCAGATCTATCATTTTTGGTGCTTTGTCCTGTGCACCTTGTCTGCTGTTGAGCGACCGATCAGTAGTAGCAAATGCATGGGTCATCGCATTGTGCTTGAGAGGATACAGTGCTGATTGCCGATTTTGGATACGGTATGCGGGAATGGGAGCGATGGCTGATGCTGGGTCTACACATGGACAAGGATGGCAATAGAAGGCTGAGGAGGGTGACTGGCTGGGTCGGTTCGTGTGGCTCTATCAATATTCTTAGGGAAGACGGAGGTACGCCATGGTCAAAGCGAACTTCCTTCCATGGGCTGAGAAAAGGGGGAATTCTATCATTTTAGGACATTCATTGTCGTTTTGCAAAACCGAACTATACTTACGCCACAACAAGGAGTTGTCCCGCTTGTTTCCTCTGCTCTTGGGGCTGTTATGAGTCATGTCCGTTCAGTCAACTGAGAATCCCAGTCAGGTTAGATCGAAACGGCATTCGTATTGAGCTTGGCAAGACCCTGCAGCCTTCCACGTTGCGCAAGCCACTTATCGACCTTCTGGATTTATTCCATGCATTCTAGTCAAGCCGCCTGGTACAAACGATCTGATATAAAGAGCCTCTGTCCTGACTGCATCCGAAAATGGATTCCCAATTCTTCTCCATTCTAGAAGACAACACCCCTTTCCAAGACCTCTCTCCCCCTGTTGCACTCATCAACCCCCAACACGCATCAGTGTCACTTTCCCCTCAGCCTATCTCATTAGCCTACATCGATCATGGCGATCCTTCCGCAAATCCCCGGTCTCTGCGTAAGCATTCGTGTTGCTGATGAGCCAGCTGAGGAGTACCATCCTCCTCACATCACGCCCATCAGAGACCCCGAGATTGGCGATGTGGTTCCGACCACTCATTGCTTTATTGAGTCTCAGACAGGCAAGAATTTCTGTATCAGATACAGATTTTGCCCTCTTTTCACCTTCCCTGATGGCTCAGATGCCATTATGCTCACATTCTTCATTGATGGCATTGTATGCCAGCACCTTGTCTTAATACAGGAGGATCTCGACCGCGCTCAAGACTACATCCAAGACATGTGGTTTCGAAGCGTTGAGAAAGGGAACGGGCGCTCAGAGAACTACTCTCTGATGTTTCAAGAGATTGCACCTGGTAAGTCAATTGGAACTCTCAAATGTCATTACTAACATTATATAGTCGAGGAGGCCAAAAGAGCAACTGTTGTATCTGATCTCAAACGTGTCAAGGACCTCGGAACCATCAAGGTCATGATCAGTTTTGGCAAAACTTCAGAGGGACCGGGACGTTACGACCTGAGTGATGAGCGAAACAATGAGTCGCTCCACGTCGCTCAAAAGGCTCTCGTCCTTGAAGGACAAGAGAAGACCCATGGAACCAGGCATGTTGACATCCCATCACGAGAAAGCAATAGCTAACTTTGTAAAGCTACCATCGGATCCACGTCGACGAAGCAGCAGGTTTTGAATACGTCACGTTCGATCATAGTTCCGAGCACACCATTGGTTGCTTTTACTTTTCCTACATGTCACGCGGTATGTTTCTATGAATTCGGGGATGTGATCTTCACTGACTTGCTTTCTAGCCTTGCTTCTGAGCAACAACATTCTCAACCCTGCGTTCGTCAATCATGACGCTCATTTTGTGCAGCATACGCGAAAGGGCTACCCAATGAGAGCCAATGCCGACGGAAAAATTGAGATTGACTTGACCGGCGAAGAGTAGTGGGCTTGGGATAATGGACTTTCCCGTTGTAAGGTGTGGTCACCTTCAGTTTGAGTTTTGAGGTAAAGAAAAGGATTGCATTGGGATAGAAGGTTTTCTTTTTAGGTAGGTTTACTATTTAATACACTTGGGATTGGTTAGATTCACTTGGCACACTATCGGCATTCTGATGATCGCCATGCTCTGTTGAATTGATGGACTGGCCCAAAAATGTGCTATTAATCATGTCAAAACATCTGGCAGCATTCACATGACGTTTGGACCCAAGACCCTATCGCCTCAAGTTTGCCAAGCCACTCAAGGTTGAAGGGAAGCTTGGAATTGTTTAACCACATTAATTCGAGGTTTATCTTCATCTCTCAATTCAGTTGCCTGCTTTCAACAAGGAGTATTCCTTTAGAAATCCTGAGATTGTGCTGCTAAAGACAAACCTCTTCCCAGGACGTAGCTCTCCCCCACGTCAGCCATCATGCTAGATCAACGCTCGTCGGTCGTACCAATCTCTACATTGGACCTGAGATATTTCTTTAGGAGATACTCGAGTAGACGACAGCTGTCAAACCTGGACTATATGCCACAGTTAAATGTTGCATTCTGTGGGTGAAGCGGGAGGAAAGGATCTGGCTCCCTGTTGACATTTACCTGGCTAGCTTATAACTGTGAACCGGGGAGGAAGAGATAAGACCGATAACTTTTGAGATTCAGTCTCTTTCAACGAACCAAAGAGGTAAAGAGATGTTGTTAATTTGAAGGTGGTGAACGACAATAAGAAAAAACTACAAAACACAGCAGGTTCAAGCTCTTTACTGCAAGCTGATTTCCAACTGCAAATCGGTTCCTATGAAGCTCGAATTTTTGTCATAAGATAGAAAATTAAATGTTTATTTCGAGACTACTAGAATGAGGCAAAAGAGGCATAGATTTCAGTACAAAAAAGTATGATGAATCTAAAGTTCTGTGGGAATTCCGTCCCCTTGTGTTCATCATCAACAGCCACGTGACCTTGCAATTGGGGCTAGACCTCTTCTGGAATGCCTGCCACAACCCGTGACAGCCCAGTCGACATTAACCTTGGTTGATCAACCTCGTCACAAGCAGCTTTTGCCGATAGCCACAAAGTGAAGATATAAGTCAAGGGCGCATCTTTAACATATCTAGAGCATATCAGCCGCTGGCCTTCCTCCATTCGTATCTTCAAGCGGGGGCACGCAAAAGTTCATCTACAGGCTTATTTCATCGAGAACCGCAATACTTTCTCAACTTCCCCAACATATCACGATCATCCGAACTAGGGATACAGTGCCCCAACTCTTAACTGCGGCAAAATAACTCTGCTAGATTCTCTCTCTTCTATAACCGAGCTGTTTGTTATCATCTTCGCTTACTCCCCTATCACGATTCTGATCGAATACTTGTCGCAGAGGATACTAAGGTCGGACCTTCGGTCATCTCATTCGAAGCCTAATATCGTTCAAATTACTCAACCGTCCAATCAAACATTAATACCAAAGATCTCCCCTTTCACACCTTGTTCTCAGCTTGCTCGGGCTGCCATGTGGAAGATTTGATGGTCGGCATGGTCTTGGCAGGGTTCATGGCGATAGATCAGCAAGACACTACAATCAAAAATCGAGAGTCTATAACGATGAACGATACTTGATACCTTCCTCGAAGACACCTCGGAATGCAGTTTCGAGTCGCCCAAGTCGCTCAATGGCAAACATCTAACTACACGAACCTGAAACACGACTTGTACTTCTAAGTCCGGAGAGTCTGGGAGACCATGACATTGACGCGAGGTTTTTGAAGAGACTTGAGACAGCAGCGAAGTCATGGTTGGATTGGCTACGCAATTGCACGCTAAGCTGATGGGCCAATGCAATAGGCTTCTATTCCAACAAGATGCATTGTCGCCAACCGTGTTCACATTTTCTTCTCAAATCGGAGGCGGCGAGAAGGCCCTTTAGAAGTGGAAATCGCTTAGAGTATTGCTAGAATGCTCATTCGACACTCTCCAGGTCTCCAGTGCCAGGCCCTTGAGGCTACCACTGTTTCCCTAATGGGTGAATTGGCCTTCGAGTTTACCAATTTGCCCTTTAACCTATTCTTTACTTTTTTAGTCTAGGGATAAGGCCTTACCTACAAGGCAACTACTAGGGAGGTATACCCGGAACAAACATCCCGGAGGTTAGTTGTGCTGACAGAAGCTATCTTTACCAAATCTGGCCATTCTACAGATTAGCGTCTTAAATAAAGGGATGATATCAAGACAAGGGAGATGATCAAACAGCCACTTCTTGGTATCCAGAGTCGAATTTCTGTTTTTGGTTTAGAGTCACCTGTAAAAAGAAATTATAGCATGAGCTATCACTTCTATCCTGGGGCCAGCCAATCAGAAGCCGAGAATAACGCCGATACCCCTGCCCATCACGTAGCCTCAATGTGCAAATGATCGAACATATAACAGGCTGAACACAATGGTTCATTGTATCTTCTTTTCACCAGCAGACTTGGTAGCGGTGGCATCTACGCACTCGATTGGTTTATAACCTCTTTTCCCCCTCAATCTCTTATCGCCGTACACCATGGCCTCGTCGAGATTGACATGGGTTTATGGGCGACAACATCGGGCCAAAGAGGTGCCAAAGGATGTTATCGATGAGTACAAAAACATCATCCGACACCTATACTTAGATCAAAACATGACTCGCCTGGAGGTGATGAGTCATCTCAAGGATAATTACGGATTTACTCTAACGTAGGTCACCTTTTTGCAACACGCAATCATGCTTGCTGACTATAGAGACTTTATAGTCCCAGTCAGTTTGCCAAAGCAACGAAACGCTGGGGTCTTTACAAGCAACCTCGCCAGGCCCAGACCTTAGCCCAGGCTCTCGAAGCAACTATTTTGCCAGAGCCTGAGCCACCGGGCGCGATATTTGATATCGAGGTTGATGCTTTAGACGCAGATGATGAGAACGAATCTCTTTTCCAGACTGCCAATACACTTGTCCCAGACTCAGAGATTCGCGAAAACACCGAGAATGACGATTCGCCCTTAATGGGGGATTCACGTGATCAAAACCATCACTTAATTCGCCCCTCACAACGCCAACCACAAATTGATGAGTATCCATGTAAGGAGCCATCTCGGAAAACTGGTGACCCCCTGCTGCAGGCCCAGAGTGACGACCGGAGACCCAGAGTATCGACCCGCCTCTGCCACCCAGCAGATGTCAACATTCCAGTACGTATTTCGGGCGCCTCGAAGGCTCAGATTCCATTAACTTCGAGATGTTGGCCCCCCGACGACATGGACCAAAGACAAACACTTCTGACGCATAGCACGACGGCGGGGTTGTGCTCGGATTATTTGGCGTGCTGCTACCTTTTTGAAGATTCTTTTAACTGTATTGAGGAAATCATCCGCATTCACGGCAGAAATCTCGCCGATGAGAACCTTATACATCAGTTTTTGGATCTTATGAGGCTTGCAAGATCACCGAGGATGGGTGAATCTGTTATCGATCTTCTGCGAGATTTCCATCTCCTCGATGCTGTAGAAGGGGACGTAGATGAGACATTAGTCTTTCTAGATACCCCTACGCAAGATCGAATGCTTTTCCACGCCTACTTGTCTGGCATCTATGTTCTTTTGCCATGCCTAGATAATAAAGCTCAGAGGCATCTTGGCCGACTTCGCCAGATCAGGGATGAACTCGGAGCAAGTCCGAGTTGTTCCCTTGGTATGTGGTCCATCCTTTTCTTACAACAGGAATCCAGTCAGAGGGATACCCCAGACATTCTTCTTGAAAGATTGGACATTGATGATGAAGAATTTCTACATTTCTTTCAGGTATGCCTGAGCTTATGTAAGGAATGCCTTGAGATAGTCGAACAAGGAGTCTCAAGCCATGCTCCCGTACAGTTTGACAGTTTATTTCTACAAACAGGTGATGCAGCAATTTCACTGGAGATCTGTAGATTAATGCAGAAAAAGAGTCGCCTTGATACATGGCAAGAGGCTGGATTCCTGTTTGCCTTCGTTTGGGGCAACGCGCAGCAAGAAACTTCAATCTCGTCGTCTTGGCAGAAGCAAGTCAAGATATCAGATATATCAACTACGCATTTCCTGGCCATTATTTGTCGAATGATTATTCATCAAACTACAATATCCTACCCAGACTTAGAGAATGGATTTGCACCAGAATGTGTCACAGAACAATTCATTAGCTTGCTCTATCTGGACACAATCGAGCATCTCATGACAACCCGACTGTCACCGCGGGACGTTAAGAGAGATTTTCTACAGCACTTTACCAAGCATCACACATGGTCTGAACTAGAACCAGAGGATAACGGATCAATTAAGCGTGTCCAGAACTATCAACAGAGGGTTCTAGATGACGTGATTCGACACAACATAGACAGTGCAAAAGACCACTCCTCGGTCCAGGAGACTCCACCTCAGGCCGTACCCTCGCAAACAGATGTTCGGATGATCCACTCTATTAGTTTAGGTTCCAACAAGTCCAACAATTCATCCTCGCGCTCCGCAAGTTCTTCACATGTTTGTCAAAGATACCTCAGCTCACTGAGCAACAATCCTACCATGACTCGATCGCCAGCGTCAGGATCCTCTCGAGGGTCTTCCTTGAACTCATTTCGGAGATTTCAAGCAGCAAGTGCAGCTATTACAATACATCTAAAAGAGCGTCAGGGTTCGCACATGCAAAGTTTGGATGAACAAGGCAGTAGTACTTAGTCAGACACGCACTCTCTCATTTGATTTAATTTCATTGCTGCAAAAACGATGTTAGAATGGCGAGGAAAATAATTATATGGCTCTTTATATAGATAAAATAAACCTTAGATTTCAAATAGACTTTTTATATATGTCCAACATAAAGGTCCGTGAAGTAAAAGATCTCCAATCTTTCTCCTATATTCACAGCACGGATTAATATTCACCTATAATCCTTTAGACCTCGCGCAATACAATAGCCAGATAGGATAAGTCATAAACTCTTCCAACCACTAAATATAGTATATGACTGCCACTCTTTAGCTGCTATCACAATGGCCTTTTGTGCCTGTCTCATCTTCCCAATCATCTTTCTTCTCCTACAAATGAAATTTATCTAACTTGCAAGAACCTAACTCCTAAAGACTAGAAAAGGCCATATATGTTAAAATCGGAGACTCTTAATTAGTGTAGGTAACTAATAATAACTCTATTCACATGCTCTTATAACTCTAGATATTATGTTCTCGAAGTGCTAACTGTATATTAATGCGCGCTGTTTAAAAAGGTGAAATTAAAGAAGGGAAAGTTGGCGCAAAGGGAGAGGGAAACGCAAAGGCGCCGCAAATGAGGCACCTAGCCCAGAGTCCGGTTCCGTTAATACCACTATGATAGTGAAAGGGTCGTCTTGGCCTCTAAACAGGAGTTTCTACCGCCCGCCACGAAGAGGCAGACGATATCGGCATGTTAAGAATACTGTAGACGAAGATAATAAAGAATGCGAGGAAAAATAAATTAGTAAAAGATATTAGAGCCTGGGGAACGGGATGGAGGGGCACAACGTTTTTTCGCGAGTTGCTATCCTCCGAGGGAGAACTGTAGGCACTGGTATGCTGCATTTGTCTTGTAGTCCTATGGAAGAAGAAGAGTTGGCGGGATTTGTTGATCTCAGGATAATGCCAGTCTTGTTAATGAAGTCGGACGTGATATGGCCGAGAATGGGGCAGCGCCAAGTGTCGCCGGCGTAGTAGCAAGAGGAAGAAAAGCGACGGCGCCATAGACTTGCGGACGTGAAGGCGTCGAGGAATCACAAGTACCGGGGAGGAGGGTCGCTTATCGGGAGAGTAAGTGATGCTATAATCGGCGATCGAGTTTAGTGCTGCTTTGAGAGAATGTTCGGGATGGTTTGCTGATCTGGAAAACATGGCAGTGTTAATATTGATCGCGCGAGTTGATGTTTATGGCGAGGTATCTTACCGCAATGGCAAGAGTTGAGCTTGAAAGCAATAATTCCCTGCAAATATGATCGTTTTGAGGTAGTTCGAGGATCGCGAGAAGGGGGACTATTGCGATGGGTCAGCCAAGAGCATGTAGTGAAGCAGTGTAGGGCATATTGCAGAACAGATTTAACGCCAGGTTGAAGACATATAGATGTTCTGGGAGAGGTCGAGGGTAATAAAGCGACGTAAGCTTGGTGAAAGCTTTGCCGAAGTCTTACGATTGATGTCGCAGATTGGCACTTAGCTTATTTAACAGAGCCTGTGCTTGGACCGCTCCTTGCTCTAGGCCAAGTACGCGTCTTCAGGAGGTAAATTGTTATATCTGTGGGCCAATCGATCGATTTGGGGAATAAATATGGTTGGTTCAGTGCGAGTCTTGGGGTGCATTGTATGACTACGGCCATTGGGATAGTGTGCGCGACTCGGCGTCGAGGGATACGATAGTCTTGTACGAGAGTGAATTCGAGGTCTGTACGTATGTTCCAATCGCATTTTGTCAGAAACGCGCCTTTTCTCAGTCTTGAGGATGACTTTCGATATCGAGGGTAAAGGTTTTGCTTCGAAGCTGACTCAGATCTCGAAGGGAGGGTAGACGGCGTCGCGGGAAGGCTCGTAGCCCATGAGCATAGAGCTATTCGGCTCGATGGAAGGGACGGGGCCGAAGAGACCAATTGAGGAGCGGAGGTTGAGAGGGTCATTCTGAACCGTCAATGTTATTTTTGGATGATACAGGGACAGGAAGTCTGGCTTACAAGCAGGCATCAGCGGTTTGTTTATCACCGCGTATACCAGATCAACCGAGTGGTATCTCCAAGGTTGTGCCGATGCAACAAAAAGGAGCGACTTTCGAAAGCTGTTGATTGCTCAAGTTTCGCGTTCACTCCTAGTCACGCGTCGCCAATCAGTTTAATCGTTGGCGCGACTTGTGTCACAATAACAAACTTACAGACCACAACTCACACTGTAGTCCAAGCTTGGCGGCTGCTCTGCAAACTCACTCGCCATGATTCTCTTGAATGTTTTGAGACATGCTTCTTTCATAACACTCGGGCTTGTATGATCGGTATGTTTCAGTGACTGTTTCGGAGATGGGGTACTGATCACTCTACGCAGAACTGCTTCCTCAGCCAATCCATCATGGAAAACAACCGTCGACCCCCAGTCCCGACAGTCGCGGATGTCCTCCAGGCAGCCTGTAGGGCCGGCCCCCCTGAAAGTGTCGATACTTCCGCGTCTTCTAACGAGCTCTGGTCGCTCCGCGCTACAAAACAAAGAATCGAATCCTCCTCTCAACACTACAGGCAACAGAGAGCCCATTCTGAGGAACTTATCAATTACCTCAACCTGAAACTCGGCCGACTGTACTCAGCGGAAGAAATCTTGAGCCGCCAACAGACAAGCCATATCGAGCAGCGACAAGCAGAGCGATGCACTACAGACGCCGAACTTTGGGAGAAATATTACAAGTCTCTTCGTCGCTATACTAAGGGTCTGATAGGCATACGCAGACTGATTGAGCAGGAATTGCTGTACCGGCAGAAGGCAGAAGGGCACTTGCAAAGAATGGATCGTTATATCGAGTTGAGTGACCTTGAGGTTGCCGAGTTGGATAAGCAGATTGAAGCAATGGGAAGCTATGGAGATGATTGAAGTAATGAGGCTCGAGGGCTTCGAACCAGAACGCGATTTTCCATTGACGAGGTTGAGATACTAGATCGGCGCGCTCACAGGATAGTACACGCACCTAAATTCAGCCATGTTACCTTGTCCTTTCTCTTGTGTATATCCGCTCGCGCCATTACTTTTGGTCTTCAATTCTGTCGCGATATGTGCCTGGCTTTCGTCTTCCGGTCTATGCTTCCTCTGCTTTGTCCTTGCGTTTCACTTCTTTCACTTTCAGCCCAATCAAGAGATCTATAAGGCACTCAAAACGAACTAGCGATACTCGAGGAAGTGCGCTGTGCTAAGTACAGAGAGATCTGGACCCGCAGGACTGAACAGAATACAGGATCAATCATACCAAGATACACATCCAGGTACCAGATGCAGGTCAAAAACTTCATTTTCTGAGGAGAGGCAAACCGCTAGCTGTCAGTGGCTTGCCAGCCGCACTATGAGCACTGCCTGCTTCCATCTGCTGCAGCCAATCTCAGCTTGCCGCGATGCCCTCAGCGATAGAGTTACAAAACATCGCTGATGTCTACTTCTTGAAGCCCTCGAAATAAGTATGGAACTTATTGGAGAAGATGGTTTGCCTACCTCGGACTTTTCTCTATCTGTAAGCTAAAAGATTGTTTAGGCTTGTAGTATGTTTCAGTCTCACCCTCAAATGCGGCAATGCACTGACATGCCCTAGAACCCGATGCCGGCGAACACGACTACAGCATGGCCACCTGCAAAGAAGTTCATCCTATATTGGAAGTGAAGCTCAGTTCTGAGCTGGAATATTGCGTTAGATTCTAGCATCTCGAGAAGTGCGGTCTTGATATTACTGTTTCAGCCCTGGACGTGTTCACCCCAACCCGTATGGACCCGGTCGAGAGGCAAGCCTAATTTTACCAGTCTCTCGCTGTAATATTGCCTTTCACTATCAGCCGGCACAACTTTGGCACGGCGAGGTTCTGGGCCAAGAGTCTGACTGGCAAGGCTGGTTCTCCCGGGGCTTCCATTCCGATGCTTTTTTGACGATCTCTCTGAAACTCTCGACGACTAGAACCGAATAATAGACTTTGGGTTCAGGTGAGTCGGAGATGGATGGTTGAGTATGTATGGAAGGTTGAAGCATCGGGATATATACCAATAGCTGATGCCACGAGTGGATTGTTGGAGAGGGTAAAAGAGCCATCACGACCCCGGATATGTGTTTGATTGCTTGTTGGTTTACCTATTTTGACCAATGTTAATGGGAAGCACTGAATGCTATTGATTCTGGAAAACAAAGGCACAAAAGACCTTCAGCTCAAAGTGAAGGCGGTCTGGGCGGCAAAAACCAAACGAGTGTAGTGAGGTGACACAGAAGATTCGGTGACTTGGACCACAACTACTTGCTCAACTTGTAGATGAAATTGATGGCTCGAAAGTCGTGGCTTCAAATCCCACTAGTCCCGACCCTTACAGAGGAATCCATGTCAGGGACGCATTCAGCTCAGGTTGTTGTTCGAGCCTGATTTTTCGAGCCTTATTGTCAGTGCTGGGATTTAGCGACAATCTAGTTTTTACCCTTTTATTATTGGTGATACGGCGGTTTGAATTCTTTATTATTGGCCTTTTTGATTGCGATGACCATGTTTCTCACGCATCTGATAAATAGAACTTCTATTAGATGACCATGTCCGACATTACGAGCCCCAGTGGCCGGGGTAGTCGGCAGTGGTTATCGCTTAGGCTGTTGCTGCTCCAGCTTCTGATTCTGATGCTCCAACCGGGCCACCTGACCGAAGGCTTTTCTGATCTGCTGCCGGCAATTAATAAGTAGCTCCCGCATTCGCTTTTTCGATCACTGGAATTTCTGTCCTGCGTGCGCTTTGAGTTATGTCTGGCACTCGGCCAGTTGAGTGTGGGCCTCTTTGAGGTTTCGAGAGGTTGTGGCTAGTCGCTGCTGTAGATTGACGATACAGGATTGCAACTGATCCTGCACTTTGTTGACGCATGCACCGGTCTGTTTGGAGTCTAACATCAAGAGGATCGGCCTGTCTATCACCAGCCATGGTGTCCTGGAGAGGATCTTGTTGCCGCTCTTCCATCAAGAACGGCCCATTGTCGTGAAGCGGTTCTGTGGATGGCGGATTCATGTCAAGGTCGACTTGGTTAGCGGTCTGCACCAGTTTAGGCTCTTGATGTTTGACTTCGACTTCGGGGTTGTTATTATGATTGGTTGGAGGACATTTATTAAGGAACCTCTCGGCGTGTAGCTGAACATTATGTTTAAGGGTATTATTTAAAAAAAAACTTGAAAGAAGAAAGACGGTGAGTGAATGTTGGTGGCCATATGCCAGTGATGCAGCGTAGATGTGCTAAATTGTGACTAGTGCTGCGCTGTTATAGAATCTCCGCGAACCTATTGCACTGCGGCCGGCCGCACCTTTATGTTAATGATGTAAAAGCTCAGATACTTGACGCATACTGTAAGCATTCTCTTTAAATCTAATATTCTTTTTTTATGGATATAAAAGAATGTAGTTCGGATATAATCTTAAGCCCTGGTTGGCGTAGACTAATGTGAGTGGCTGTGCCATCGTTCTGCCACAGTGGCTGTGCTTTATCTTAGCATTTTTCTAATCTGTGGGTCATGATCCAAATTTGGCAATTGGGCTCGCGGCCACGAGATGTCTACAAATACTGTTTGTTGCTTTAACAATCAGCAGGTGCTGGATAAAGATCTCTGGCATTATGAGCAAAGCTGATTACACTTACAGCCACCACGCAAGTTCATCAAGACATGATAGATGTTGGTGCTTTGGTGTTGCCATCTTTTGAATATTCTCATCCCTAGGCTCGACGTTTATCAAGGCATATGCCGCTGCGAATTGGTCAATAACAAATAATGAGTTAAAGTGAGGCTGGCATGAAGATATTCAGGACTAAAAGCAGACTGCCTAGTATGTAGGTCTTTAAAGCTCAAAGAATGGTCAACAAAGCACTGATGTAGAAGCTACTGATCCACAGGTGGTCTTGGACACAAGTCTCCACCACTGTGACATCACGTGATGCTGCATATTTATGAAATGAGACATCCTTTCACTGTTCGTGGATAAGCTCGTATGCATAATCTACCAACAGTGAGAAGTCAAATCTCCAGCAAGAGAACCTGTGCCACTGCTGGAAAAATTGCCAAAGGCAGCCGTGAGCTACCCTGAACTGTACAAGCGATCCACTCCTGTCTTGATGGGCTGGTTCGATCTATCTGTTTGGCTATGGGAAATATTATTCAGATCACGCACTAAAACCCGTCAACACAATGGCCATCATCCCAGCAATCCCAGCCTTCTTAGCCATTGTTCTTGTTGAAGGCAAGACAGTCGATGAGTATCAGCCACAGCGCATTCCGATCGTGATGACTGAATCGCAAGCCTCTGGATCAGTGTTATCTTTTCCTTCACAGCAAAAGATAATCTATGCACTTCTTCTGAGGATAATGCTGATATAAGCTCTGAATGATTGACAATCCAGCTTTTTCAACGGGCCACCGCATCTTCAAAGACGCGAAACAACGCCTGTGTGTCCAGTACAGCAGTCTGACAATAAAACGCATCTTTGAATACCCACGCCGCAAGCCGCCAACAAAAATTCGCCACACTATCATCTGCTTCTCGGAGTAGCTGCTGCCTTGTTCTTTCAAGACCCTCATGATCTCGGTACCTGTGACGAAACGCCGAGAGTATCGACATGCGCTTTGGATTACCGTCTCGTGTCGCGCAAAAGAAGGTTGTGTGCACGGTGGGGGTGGTTCTGAACTTGACTCGGAAAACAACGAAGAGTTTGTCACAAGCGTGTGAGTGCTCGCACATTGCTACTGAGCGGTGCTGGTCTGGCAAGGCTGGATTGGGGTAAGTTAGATATGGGTTTTACAGGGGCGTTGATGTGTACTTACCGCATAGGAAACCGACGTTTTGCTGTTTTGATATATCTGGGACAGTCCAGACGGGCTTTACTGATGATGCGCTGTTTTCGTGTCGGAGGAGCTGAGAAAATTGTTTTTGGGTAACTTGTGTCCGGCAGAGAACGTTCACGGCGCTGCAAATCTCTTCGGCGTAGAATAAAAAGGCATCAGGTATATCGTTTGGGAGTGGCGGCCAGCGTGACTCAGGACGATTTGGCGCAATACCGTGGATGGGCTGAGTGTTTGCTGCAGCAGCAGCTAGAGGCAGATTTTGAGTCGGGAGCGAAGTACGTAGTTCCGAAACTGCAGGTAGGCTCTGAGATGTCTGCGCCGCACGATTTGGCGTATTGATAGTTCCTGTTGCTGGGGGTAGACTGTATGATGCTGGCGCTGGCGCCGGGCGTAAACGGCGGATTGACCGGACGGGTTGTCGAGCTGGGCGCTGACTTTGCTTGGATGGTATCGCAGTGTGGCTTTGTTGAGTTCCGCACTGGACTTGACGGATCTGGGCTGGTTGTGAAGTTTGACGTGGTGGATGAGGCGTGATACAAGCTGGAATTGGGTTATGGGAGCGTCGAAGCCGCTTCTCTTGCGTTTGTTTCAAAGGGACGTCTGAATCTGAATCGTCGTCCTCGGCATATGCCTGAAAAGGTCGCTTCTTAGTATCCATGATTGGAGGATAAGTGGAGAGACTAAGTGCAGAGTAACAGTAACAGGCAGGGAAGTGGTAGAATTAAAATGATGGCATTGAAGCACCAACAGCGCTGGATTGATGAAACTAAAATGTCAAGGAAACCACTGGGGCAACAGAAGGTATATAACATTTTACCTTCTCCTGTTGCTATTCTACAGCAAATTACTTCAAAGGCATTAATGTAGCCTCCCGACAGCACGTTTTCCATCAAACACTGAGGAAATGAAAGCCGACGCAAGGGTAAGCAATTTGTTGTTTGTAGCGGGTAAGCAGCCGATACGAGATTATTAGTTGCCGACGGGACGGAGGTTAGATGGCAAGTCGCATACACGTTGATGTTGGATACAAGAAAAATAGAATTAGGTTAAGCACTTGTCAAGAAGAAAATATTATGTTAGTCTTGCTTAGTATAGGAGCAGAAGGGTTGCTGTCCTTGGCGGAGAGATAACTTGATTGATGTAGCACTCTTCTGTCTGTGAGCACGGGCCACGAGCGGAGTCAACTGCGATGGCCATTATTGCGTCCGCCCTGCTGTAAATTTAGCGATCATGGCCTGTTCCGCAAGTCTCAGAAGGACTCGGTCGCTGGCCAACTCGACGTCTTGGGTTACTTGCTTTATTCTTTCACTGTTTATCTCTCTGTTCACTCTGACCTCGCGTTCAATTTTTACTATTATCTCTTTATGTCCTTTTATACCATTAATCCTCTTGCTTCTTTATATGCGTACCAATTCTGCCGCCATTTACCCTGCGTCTTCACGCCTGATTGCGCATCATCGCCACACTTCAGCGCGGCTTTCGAATACTCGCTCGACCATCCTCTCACGATCTCGACGCCATGTCTTCCGCCTCTGCCGATGAACAAGAAGAACATGAGCGTTTATTCAACGCCCTCCCGCCGACCTGCGACCTTTATACCGCACGATCGAATACGTCGACGCGTCAAGAGCGGCTGCCCAGTTGCCACAGTTGTTATTGAGCGGAGCTATACGATTGAGAAGCTTGCCTTGGCCGCTGTACGTGTCTCCAAGTGAGGTTTCTCTCTTAATATGGCAGATTAGGTCGCCTCCGACTACCAGATGGTCTTGAAGATCCGACGCCGCGTCCCTGGCCAGCGGGCGTAACAACTACAACTATCGATGCCCAACACCATCAGATGATCTGACTGTTGTATTCCTCGCGCCCACGTCTCCCCTGGGAGAACCCGATCTATATACCAGCGAAACTGCGTTACGATATGACCATGCGCCTCCGGCTGATGCACGCCTCAGTCTGACTCGTGTTGAATCATATCGCTGCATGCTTGTTGAGGCTGCACGGTACGCGAAGCGAGTACACCGGAAACCTGCCCGATGTGAAAGAAGCTGTCAGTTATTAACGTTGAAGCCGTCGCTGCTGACGACGACGCCGATGAGATCGCCCGATGCAAGCATTGGACCCGGGACCATTGAGGACGCCCTCAAAGGTATACAAGTCCTCATCGCTAATACTACACAGGATCTTCTTAATGCGCTCCTCGCGGCAGGCGGTGTAACACGCTGCCATGTGAAGCAAGCGTCGACGTCAAGGCTCCAGCGAAAGGACGCAGAAGCTTGTCACATCTCCGCAAGAGCGTGCATCAATCATCATTGGAGAGGAGCTTGCTGACGCCGACCGTCAAGATATAAGACTCGCTGGCCTTTGTGACCTCCCAAGAAACACCTGCTGGCTGCTCCAGGACGCTTGCCAAAAGAAGCTCAGATGTAAACCGGTAAACAAGGCCGAGAAGGAATGTGCTTGGTAAGTAGTGTGTGATAAAGATGTAATTGCACTTGTTTCGCGACAATGATGTCATCATTGTTTGACGCCTGTTTCAGCCTCATCTCTGTTCCCAAACGTACCTTGCTTTACTCTCAGTTGGATCCATGTGTCTCTTGGTTAACCCCCTCACGATTATTTGCTCCCCGCTTTTGCCTTCCCTCCCTTGTCTTTGTTGACTGTACAAGACCCGGTCTTCAGAACATCATGGCCGCTGGGTTCAATAAAGGCCTCTAGCAGTAATAAAGAATAAATGCTGTATGAACATGAAGCGAATCAATTTAGTAACATAAAAACTATGTCTCTCAATTTCAGGTAACAACATAAGACTCGACCAATCTGGCACCCTGCTTCTAGTAGGACTGAAGTCAACAATACTGAAATGACCATACCATAACACAGTTCCCAAATTCAATATAGCTAACCAGTCTTGCGTCATCATCAGATGTTCCAGTCAATAAGTTGCAAATCAATGATAGAGTACGCCCCAAGCCTCTTGATAGGCTGGTTCATCGAGGAAAAGTTCATCATAGGAAGCGTGATGTTCCAGCACATTATGCTGGCCTCCTGACTTGATGAACATCCGGGCCGTCCAGAGAGCAACATCTCGGTTGTAGTCCCAAATCTTTTTGTTAAGGAGAAAAGCGGGAATATGCCCGTCAGGTCCCCAGGCTTTAGAGACTGCAAGGAGATCTCGGTATTCTTGGTCCGACGAGACGGTCACGCGCCCATCTGTGTCCTCGATTAAGATCTCCTGGCTCATGGCGAATGTGGCCATGGGAGGTGTCGGGGCACGCAACAGCTTGACTGTGATTGTGCCACAGATATAATCACAAGTAGTCGGGTCACATTTCTGCTCCGAGTGACCGTCTGCCGGTTTTCCTTGACTAATATAAGTATATACAGCCATTGGAGCGTGAAAGCAAATATGAAACATACTGCAGCGCCATCCTAAGTGAGTAATATCGTTGATGACATAGTCATCCAAATGGGGAATGTCACCCAACGGAGCACGCAACGCGGCTTTATCCAGTATCTCATCGTAAGGTTGTTCAAGGGAGCGAATATAGTGAGGAAGCGTAAGGTTGCTGTTACGGAGTGCAAGAAAGATCTCAACAGTGGTCCGGAGTGTCACCACTCGGTGTGTGCTTGATTCGCTTGACAACCGCTCAGACAACTGCCGAATCATCTCATTAACCGCCTGCTTACTCGTTAGCGGGTTGAAAACTCCCTCCGGCATGATGACAAGGAGGATTTTGGTCGTAATATGTGAGATCAGAATTGTGTACAAGACTCAGGTGAACCTGAGAACTGGAGGAAGAAAGGGTAGCTGATGTTGATGGCGGATAAATATGCAGATAAATATACTGAGATATGTCAGTATTGCAATAGATAATATTGTTGGGACGCGACATTCGCGTTACCACGTTCACGGGGCTTCATTTTGCGCCCAATACCCCAAGACCTTGCACGTCCGACGGCGATCACAGCTTGACTATGCCATGTCGCGGCATCGTGCATTAGACTGGCTTCATAACGGGAGGGGTAGAGCAACCGACGAAAAAAACGACAGACAGTGCGAGTCTTGAAGCATGTAATGAATGTCGATAACTTCAGATACGAGAAATCAAGTAAAGATAAGCTTAGCCAGATTGATCCAGATTGCCATTTTTTGATCGCCCCACTGACTCCATCTTCAGTGCATCTACAGATCGATCGGTGCCTGACTGCGCCGTAAACTAAAGAGAGAACAATAAGTTAGTGACATAGACGGCCCGAACCTTAACTGGTAAGTTAAGTTTAGTCCAAGATGAGCAAATTCAGAGTCCATTCACCAGGAACAAGCCTAAATAATAGGGCGTCGATGGTTCAAATTTTGGCCATGGTGAATCGTGGAGATCAGCGGGAAATTGGAAGTCAGCCAGAAGTGGGCATGGCCAGACTCCCCAACTTTTGGAGGCTTGTGTGGCTTGTGTACCAAGTTACCATTGTGTCACATGCTGACCCTTGCTTTTTTTCGCCATCTCCATTATCTCATCTTTGTATGGCGCAAAAATGAAGATGGCTTGATATTGAAACCGGCCACAGTAAATAACGGTGAGCAACACATGAAGTGTGGTACCTCCGGTCGTCGCAGCTGAGGAACCTGCCCAATCTGCACGGGGGACCCTGGTCGAACCATCCTAGCCAGAGTGGAGTGTATCGGCAGCCGCTTCGTATTCAGGCTTGGCTCGGAGCAGAACATCCGCGTAGGATACTTACGGCGAAGCAGACCAGCCCTGTTATGCTCGCGGTTCGGGGGAGAGGATACTTGTCGCGTTGCCGGTAATGGCACTGCGTGCATGTCTCTCAAACCAACCAAGCACCAAGGTATACTAATCTATATGGATCAAAGAGGCGGGTTTAAATTCACGGGATCTTAGCCAGTACTTTCATGCATGCTGAAACCAAGACGAACCTGAGGTATTCACTAACAGCTCTTGGTGGTTAACATCGCCATAAGATATGTGTCGAGACATGTCATCATTTGGTCAGGATATCAAAACAGTAATTCCACGTGCCGCTCTTGGCCTGTGTTTTGTCTCATGTGGATGCACAGTGTGAGGTATGGAGTTCTCGCCCATCGGCGCCGGAACCTTGGAGCGCAAACACTGTCTGTACTGTACCTACCGGAGCCCTAATGCACACAGCAAGCTGTCACCCTAGGCAAGGCAAAGCGGCCCTACTGTATCTCGCTACGCCAATTCTCGACGTGCCTCTTGTGAGTCCCCTTTTGGAGCCATCTCCAAAGCCCAAAAGGGAAATTCGTTCTCCTTCAGGCTGTTTACTTCAATCTTCCTTTACACAGCGATTTTCAAGGCTACCCTCCGGAAGGGCCTCGTCAAACGGAGGGCCACCCAACCTGTTCCCTACGGCTGCAGAAAGGAAAGGTAAGAATGGCTCCGATTGGCTGCTGACCTTTCTGCAGCTCGGTGAGTTGATTGACTGACTGTATTGGGGAATCAATGGTCCAGAAGAACTTGCCTGTTTGTCTTGAGCACGATTTCCCTTCCCTGAAGCTGCTGACTGACCACGCTTCGGCGTTACAGTCTGAGATAACACACTGTCTTTCAAACATCAACGTCAAGCGCCCTTCGTTACAGACTGACCAAGGTGACTCGTGTTAGTGCAGTGAGCTTACAGTGGTCTTCAGCCGAAGGACTCAGCTCATCGACTAAAGGCGCGTCATCCCATTTTAGCTGATTTATATTGACGTCATTTTAGAGATGCAAATCCAGCCTTCATACGTCCACATTGATCACCTTGGTCGGCAAATCAGCTTGATTACCTTGTCTTTACTTTCCCTGCCGAATCAGAAATGTGACGCGACGCATTATGTCCATCTAACATGCCCGATTTGTATTTGCCAAAAACCTCATCCTACCAACTTCCTCCCCTTACTTTCTGTTTCCTCTCGAGGTAATAGGTAAGGCGCGCAGACTGTAGCTACTTTTGGTCAGATTCAACTCTGAGCAACACTTCTCAAAGCAAATATCAGGCAGCATACTAACTGTATAAGCGTCTCAGCAGCTTAATGTCTAGCATCAAATAACCCGCCAAACTAAGCCTTGACCCGCTTTGGAGCGATTTCCTCTTCGTCGTGACTCTCCTCACGTCTGCGCTTAGGCGCTGGCGCTGGTCTCTTGTGCTCTTCGGGCCACGCGCCAGAAATCTTGGGAAGGGCATAATCCTACTTCTCAAGCGTGCCACCATCACCGGGTTGCGCAGTATCGAAGTTGTCTGGAAGATAGTTCATCATGGGCTCGGAGATATCAGGATATCTATCCTTGTCGGTAGCGAGATTGTTTATTATATCCATATGATGTTTGAAAATGACAGCTGGGTCAAGTGGTGCTTCTGTGCCCTCTGAAAACTCTTTGAGGATATTCTGAATAGAGTGCCGCCGAATCTCATCCAGTGTCTCCTTTAGGTGGGCGCATAGCTTGCACTTTGGGTCTAGGAACCAAATTATTTATTAAATGGCAGACCGCAAGTAGTTGACCTATTGGTCTTTGTCCTCTACTTTTAATAGATTTGCTATGGAGGGTTCTTGGTATGAAGTGCGCTAGTAGATGGATTGATATGCTGAATGGTTGAGGTTGATGACTTGAGTGTCGGCGATATGACATGTGTAGGGATCTGAATTCTATAGAGGCTCAAGATGTCATTTTATATCTTGAGCTCTGTGATGAAGGTTGTTTCTACCTGATACTCATTTCAATCACAGGACTTTTGCGTACAAAGAATGGAATAGTGAATCTCAGGCTCTTTGTTGCGTTGTTGATGTACGGGCTACAACTCTTTGATCTTTTTGTCAGGTATCAAAAAATCGCAAAAACGGCTTAAAGAATCTCAACATAAGAGTGGTAGACGCATGATTCACTCTATTAGATTCACGAAGGCTTTCCCCATTCAATTTTCTTTAAATTGGGTTATCTACATGATGTATCTTCAATTCTAGAGTTAGCAGTCAATAATTTAACAGCAGCAAAAAATGGTTCAGGACAAAGGAGCCGTGTCACCCCAGGCTTTTGCCACGTCATAAGTACTGGCGTAGAGACAGTAACGGCCGACAATGCATAAGAATTCTGATATTAATCAGGGCCACTTTGACAATAACTCACAAGTAAATTACGTCCTTTAACCGCCGATTTATTAACTTGCAAAAGTCTATTGTACCATTTTCACCGATTGGAGTATGACGACAAGCTCGTGACTTAGACAAGCTGCGGGGGACAAATTGACTATATTACACGACTCAGATCATCTGGAATCCTGGTAAGACAAGAAAAAAAATGAAAATCCACTGTTTCAACGGAGCTGGGAGAGAATGGACAGATCGTTCACAATTGGGATTATAAAAGCAAGATCAAGGTTCACTACTCTTAATAAACTTCGAGAGTTTATCTAAACAGTGATGTAGCGGCGGGTAACGCTAGAAAATGGTAATCGTATACAGAAGGGTCTGGTGGTTACAAGTTCAAACCTCCGGCTTTTATCTGGAGTCTCATGATCACACCTCAGCGGCACGGTACAATATTGATTACCTTATCTCCACTAAGAGATCTAAGACTCCTACATCTTTGAGGAAGGCGCCCGCCAACCATAGTCGCCCAGAGCGGTGTTCTCGTCTCCCATCTTCACCTCATATCTCCAAATACTCTTCATCATTCACACCCACGTCAAACAAATTCTCTCAAAACGGGCGCTCAGCTTTCAGCCCAGTGATTAATCCTCTGGCCAGCTCCAATATTTGAGTTCAGCTCCTCTGGGCGATGAGATTCAGGACGCAGCCAACATCATCTCGCATGCTGCTATCAGCCTCCGCAATCATTCAAATCTTCCCGAGGCTTATTTACTGCTTTACATTAACGCCTTAGCCAGGAAGGCTGAACTATAATATGCATACTCCCCAGTCCTTAAGCTTCGCGCTTAAAAATATTCATTATTAGTCTACAGACCATTGCCGCCGGGAAGATCCTCCACACCATGGCTTCCTGCAGGACAGCCATAATCATGATGGCACCTCCCAGAGAATGGCAGCCAGCTCAACGGTAACTACAAACGCAGGGGGAGATGCACAGCTCGCTTATCACTGTGATGGTAGAGGACCTTGGCGATACAGTTCACACCTTGAATAGTCTCAGGAAGCAGAAGAAGGGTTCTGGAAGCTGCACAGGACTCTGCATAAGTTACTATTCATACCAATAAGGATCAGAAGGCTAAAACAACGCAGTTATGGATGCATTGACTTGGAAACTTTCTTTTACTGCAGAAATATATAAACACCACTGCAGCATTTCCAATTATCTTTGACTCAAGTGACAAGTCTTCAACATATTACCGCCGCAACCAGGCACCAGGCCTAACAACGTATCCCCTGCGCCCATCCTCCAGCCTACGTAAAGAAATCGTCAATATCCGGCGTGAGGTGACAGGCAAGCCAATCCACCCTATCCTCTCCTCGATCGTGGTAGCATGATACAAATCCTCATCCAAAGTCATTGGTGCTCCATGGCGTCCGTCCCTACTGGTTACATCAGAGCTCCTGCTCGTAAGAGCCTTCTCGAAATCTCATGTGGCGACGATTAATGA